AAACTAATGAACCCGAAATGGAAGGGAAGTCGCCGCAGTACAGTAAAGAAAACTAGAGAAAGGCACTGGTAAGTAAAAGGAAGACAAGTACAAGCAGGATGACGAAAGACTGGGCAGTCGGAAATGAATAACGTTAATGTAATACCCATGTTTAATTATTTTGTAGTCATTATAAATATACTAACTTGGTTATACTCGAGTACAGTGAGGAAACCATCTTCATAGATTCAACAACCAATTCCACTTAACTAATCCTTAACATTTTATCGTGGCAGTCGGCATCATACTGACCCAAGCAAATAGTAAACTTTGTCGATCTCTTTGCTCACTTATTGTCAGCTCTTGATTAATCGTCTGCCAGGAAACTGAAGGTCAAATCCATTACCCTTTTGGTAAAATCGTAATACGAAAACACATGAAGAAAATTTTCCATATTACACTTACAAAAATCGTACAATAACAAAACAAAATCCTACCAATCCTCTGCCCATTTTAGATCTTTTGGGACAGAAGATAAGATAAGACAAGACATTATTGTTTTCTGTCACTATGGTAAAACACCATCTGCTACAAAATATGTACGTTAACAAAACAGAGAAGAACTTTTCCCCAATTGGTCAGATCAACTAGTAAGATTACTTGCCAAAAGATTTATAAGAAAAAATGGAAAAGAATATAAACCAAAATGGTAAGAAATATACACACAAGCAAGTACTTGTCCAGCTGATAGAGGGGGATGACCTGGACTAGATAAAAATTACATGAACCTACCCTTAACTCACAAAGGAAACTAGAGAAACACATATGCCGCACTAGTGAAGATGACCTGGACTAGATGAGGTTATCAGAAACCTAAACCTAAACCTAACCCTACATTAATTCAGTCTTATAAATAGACCCAAAACTGAGGTGATAAGTACACAAACAAAAACTACATCTTCAGAGATGTGCAGGGTAGCTTCAGAAAACTAATTATAAAGGTGCAGACGATGTTGTTGAAGAACAGGATGGTTTTCTATCGAATCTTTGATTTACCAGAGGTATATCTATCTTTAACTGGCCCTTTAAGCATTTCACAATCTCATTCTTCAATTTGTAGTGATACATACATACATATATATATATATATATATAATTATGGAAATGATAGTATCACTGACATGTTTCGCTCCTGACCATGAACTAGGTGAATGGCAGACTGATTGCCTTGGTTTCTGCTTCTGAATACCAGGTCATTGGTTTCTCGCCAGCATGCCAGTGGCTGCAAGAACTTTGTTGGTGGTCCTCAATCCCAGGTCGTTAATAGATCAATATTTTACTTAATGAACAAGTACCATCAAGTAAAATATTTATATGAAATCGCACGGCAGTTGAAGTTAGTGCACTTGCATAAATAGGACCACAGGATTGCCCCTTTGTTCTTAATCAAACAACCTAGAAATTTTGAGTAGGACTGCGTGTGCGTTCTTGTGAGTGAGAAAGAGGAAGCTGAAGAGGACTTCCACGCCGCCAAAGACCAATGTAGATCTTGTTTTGGTATATGTTTATGGAAAGAATAGATGTTGCATTTGTAAGAGTCATTTCTCTATTGTATCGCTGTGTGTTCTCAAGTTCGTTGTCATCTAGAAAACATGCTACGTTGTTAGGACTTAAGAGATAGTACCGAAATATGTTACAGCTATGTACAATTTATTCCTTTTTCTATGCTCGGATTTTACCTTTATTACATTCCTTACATGTACAAATGTGATGTGGGAGTTCCTCCTTGAGGTCATGGACCCTAAACCTTCAAATATTTCTACCTATCGTCAATTCAAAATCCATTTGCAGAACTGCAGAGAAATATAAATTTTTCTACATATCGTCAATTCAAAATCCATTTGGTGACTCAAACTTAAAAAAATTTCCTGTTTGCAGCAAGACTAATTAAACTATAGCAACGCCTTCATATTGCATAAAGGAAAACTGCAGATGAGAACGAGTACTTTGATATCAATATTCGGATCTCACTGGTCTTCCCTGCCACAAAAGTGAGGATGTAAATCCCAGTTACGTAACAAATTGCAATCAACGGTGACTCAGAAACAAGAATTGGGATTTAACGCCATCGGCCACAGCCGAATTGCAGTCAACAACGAGGTCAGAAACCCCTAGAGCTGCAGAAACAAAAAGGAGGGAATTGAGAAAAAAAAGCAGGGATTAGGGTTTTAAGGAAAAAAGACCTTGTTTTTTCTTTTTTTTTTCTTTTTCTTTTTATTGGCTTGAAGTTGGAGCTGAAGTTTGACGTTACCATCAGTGGTATGCCACTGAAGGTGGTGAAAGGGAAGTCAACTTGAGAGAGAAGCTTGTAAAGAAAGCTTAGGGTGGAGATATATTGAAACTGACCGGGTATGAGCATGCTAGAGTCTACTTGGGTCTATGTTGGAAGGTTGCTCAAGGCACATCACAACTCATCAAAGTTCAAGTTGCAACTGCAACTCTAGCCCTCATTCTCGGGTAGAGTTGCAGCTGCTACTAAACCGTCATTTTTTGTTACCAACTATCCCTTAATTATAGGGTTTATGTCTTCTAGTATTTCAGCTCTAGATTTTTTGTAACTTGCAACTAGGGCTAACCTTTTTATCTTTTGGTCTCTTCCTTGTAGCTGTTTTGTAATTGTTCAATGGATTCTTACCTGACTCGGTCTCTCTATAAGAGCCCTCTCTTGTAATACCAATATATGATGAAAATATACAAACAGTTTTGTTAAATTGAATTTCAATAAGATAGGATTCTCTTTAGCCTTTGTTAAGCACAAAATTCACTTCAAATCCTACAAAATCTCTTACTTAATGAAATCCTTCAAAATCTTAACATTTTGAATGCCTACAGATTTGTATGTAATCATTTAAAATCTTAGGGCGGTGTAGTCAAACTAAGATTTGAAAGGATTTGAAAGAATTTTAGATTTTATAGGATTTAAGAGGATTAAAGACTCCTACAAAATTCATATGGATTTTAAAGAATTTGAATGGATTGTGGTGGATTGTGGTGAAAGTATTTGAAATCCTAGGCGGTGAGGTTGGATTCTTTTTAGTCTTGATTATATATACTTTTTGCTCTCAAATCCCACAAAATCCACAACTTATTGAAATCCTCCAAAATCTTAATTTTTTAATACACTTTTTGGATGGATTTTAAAATCCTTTAAAATCTTTTAATTGACTACGCCTAGATTTGAATGGATTCTAAAATTCTTTAAAATCTTTTAATTGACTACACTAAGATTTTGAAGTCTTTTAAAATCCTCTCAAATCTGAGTTTGACTACAAGATTTTAAAGGATTTTAAAAGTGATAGATTTGATAGGATTTAAGAGGATTAAAGACTCCTACAAAATTCATATGGATTGTGGCGGATTGTGGTGGAAGGATTTGAAATCCTTAGGGGTGAGGTTTCTTTTTAGTCTTGGTTATATATACTTTTTGCTCTCAAATCCCACAAAATCCACAAATTATTGAAATCCTCCAAAATCTTAATTTTTTTAATACACTTATAGATTTGGATGGATTTTAAAATCCTTTAAAATCTTTTAATTAACTACACCTAAATTTGAATGGATTCTAAAATCCTTTAAAATCATTTAATTGACTACGCCGAGATTTGAATGGATTATAAAATCCTTTAAAATCTTTTAATTGACTACACTACGATTTTAAAGTCTTTTAAAATCCTCTCAAATCCGAGTTTGACTACACCCCCTTAATTACTACACTTGGATTTGGATGTATTCTTTAAATCCTATTAAATCATACTTTGACTACAATATGATTTCAAAGTATTTTAAAATTTTAATTGACTACATCCTGATTCTAAAATCATTTAAAATCCTTCCAAATCTTAATTTGACTACACCCCTAAACATCTTTGCATGAGAGTTTACATGACATTGGGACTCTGTATCCATTGACAATCAATTTGGAGATGGATGTATATTGTAACATGGTATAAGAGTGGACTATCCATGAATTTAGCCAAAATTAGGACATACATATGATCCGCTTGATGCTCAATTATATAGTTTCAACTTCTATCTTTACTTTAAATTACTTTACAAGTTTAAAAACAAGAAAAAATGGAAATGTCCTATTAATTTTGATGTTTGTTTATTTTCCATATTCATCCCTATTTCCATTGTACATTGTCATTGACATCAAGTACATCGTATCGGTCCACCAAATAGCAAATATTAACACAACGAACTTGCCATACAAAAAAACAAAAAATGAAAACAAGAATAAATGGAAACATATGCAAATTTACTTGCATATGTTTTTAGAACACACTTAATTTGTTACCATATACATATATATTCCTCCCATATGTTTTACCATATATATTAATAAATAAATAACATTTCAAAACTCCATATCCACTAAATCCCCTTGGTTAAAATCACTTTTAATTATGACATCTCCAAACTTCAATTTTTTAGGAAATTTGTCATATTGTAATATACTCTATGCAATAATAGATAACTTGTGCGGCGCGTAAGTAAACCTAAAAACATTTAACTGAGTACATACGTATTACCATGCACGTAGTCACACCCTTCCAATATTCTTTTGCGCATTCATAAAATGATGTATATATTCTCGTGAACGTGGTATGTGAAAATGCTCTTAACTTGAGTTGTTTGGCAGTTATGTTCTTTTTTTTTTTTTTGTTTCTTTTGAGTTACTATTTGATTTTTTTTCTTTTTTCTTTTTCTTTTTCTATCAGCATTTTTTTTTATGGCATGTTCCAATTCGTAAGTTTATTGAAAATTTAAATTGCGATTATATCATTAATTAATTTTTTTTTTTGCGTGGAGAAAGAAGGTTGGTGAGCCTGTAAAAAAGAAAAAGGGATAAGGTTGGTGAATACCGGGTGGGAATATCTCCTGCAGACTTGCCAAACAGTACCCATTTTTTTTATTCTAGAACCCTCTATCCTCCCTATAAATTGATCCAGTAATTAGTCATTTGTACACATTGAAAAACTCTTACATTGTGTTTTGGGTTCTGGTTGGGGATTTTATCTTCTAACATAGGATGGTAATTAGGATGTGTGGGGTAGCTCCAAAAACCCTAGATGACGAAGATGATGAGGATGCTGGTGATCTTGATTACGATTCTCAACCAGTAATCGCATCCATGATTTACCAGAATTTAGGTATATTTTTAACCCTCAATATATACCCTTTTCGGTTTGACATCTTAATTGGGAATTTCATGTCTCTCTAGTTTGACATTTTGTTTGGATCTGGCAGGTTTGAGTCTATAAATTAATCTAAGTTGATTGATCATCCTGCTATATCTAATGGTTTTTATTGACTATAAACTCCACAAAATTCTACAAATTTATTTGAGAAAACAAAGATTTACTACGAAGGTTTGATGAATTCTGTATTCGCCAACTTTAAATCTTCAAATATTTTTAGGAAAGTTCATTTGCATCTTTTCATTAAAATTTATTTTTTTAAAAGATATATAACTTGTACGGCGCGCAAGTTTTCAAGGATTGGATAGGGATTTCACCAGAAGTATTTTCCTTTCTTCATCCAGTGCTTTTAGCCTTTTAGGTCTTGATTAATGTCATTTGTGTTTTTTTCTAAACTGTGTGGTCACTGGATCTGATAATTGATGTTTTTTCTTCTTCTGTATAATAAGCTAGCTAGGTTTTGTTCATGGCCAAACCTAGTTAGATTTGATCTGGTCATATATAATTTTAGCCTCTTGCCAATTAGCACATTTTTAGTTTAATCTTATTTTTTGGATATTTTAGTTTTATTTGAATACAAACTTTTAATTTACAGTCTACGATTTTTAAAAAATTAAAATAAAAATGGTTAGTAACTCTCTTGACATGGGGTAGTTTTCTTTTGATTTTTAGTAATTTTTCCCTTATTTAATAAAAGTATTCTTTTTAGAAATAAAAACTGAAGAGCGTTTTTTATATTATGAATGTTTTCACTAAATTCACAAGTTAGGTGCGGTGATTGTGTTTTTTTAATTTATTTATCTAATTATGTTGCTTAATTAACGAATCATTTTCACTCAAGGATCAAGGAGATTGCAAGCAATCTCAGAGAGGAGGAAATCTACGCAATGCTCATGGACGTAGCATGCTTTTCAAGAAATGTTCAAGGTTTGGTTCTGTTTCTTATGGTTTTGATTTGATTTTGATAATTTCGTAGACTGGAAAAGTGGTTGGATTTTTTAATTTAGGGGTTGTTTATATACATTGAATTAAAGGAGAACTAATGAAAAGGGTTTGAAAATTTTGAGTTTTAATGATGAGGACAAAATAAAAGGTAAAGTGAATAGTAGCAGGTTTGACTTTTTAGTGTAAAAATGTGGTTTTTCGTTAAAGTGAACAGTACCGTGAACTTTTCGTTAAATCTCCCTTGAATTAATTTAGGGGTTTTTTTTTTTATTCGTAAATTAGTTTGAATTTTCTGCAACTTTGTATTGATATATTTTTTAATTTACTAAAATGTAGAGGAGAATGGCTGGACTCCAACTTGAGGGCAAGGCCACGCCATGTAGCTACTGCCAGTGTTTCCTGTGTAACACTGTAGTCCAAGGCCGAACCCCTCCAGTTTAGCTACTGCCAGTGTTTCCTGTGCGAAGTCATGGCTACTCAAATGACAGCACAAAACCCTTATCCTCCTCGAACAAACCTCACCCAACTACCCTCTGCATCTGCCAGCAAATCGAGCCCAGACCCTGCGTCGGGCTTCACCCATAGCCAAACTCCGCCATTTTTGTATAATCCCAACCTGCAGGTTGCTGGTCCTTCTTCTCCTAATAGCTATCAAAATCCATGGCTCCTAGCTGCTAATTAACACACCTGGTGCCAAAGATGTTCTACTGATATGGGTAGCGACTTTGAAGACGGTACGTAGTAGGGATGGTGAGGACTCCGATTTCAGTTTCGGTCAACAATAAAGACGAGATGAAGGACATCACCTACGGTTATGGCGATGCGGGTTAGGCGATTCTGCCATGGCAGCTGCCCCTTTGTAATTTTGGAATAAAATGACATCTAGTTATACGGTCGAATGATATTTATTTTCATTTGTAAGTGAGAGGTCTTAGATTCGAATTTCGGGGATGACAAGTTGAAACAAATTTATTCTTCCATCTCTACTTGATGTAATATATCATTGTTATAAATACATAAAAGTTTAAACTTTCTCATGTTGCAAATTAATTGTTTTTTGTTACCGATGATTAATATTAGTGAATTTACTTCGACAACTCAAAATATGGACAATATACATTGTGGTTTATACAAGGGTTGTTTATTCACGCTTTAAATATTGTTGAATAATTTGCATCTACTTTTTAATTAAAATTTCTAGAAAACTAATGACATTTTTCTGGAACCAAGGGAATAAATTATAAGCATGTGGAGATGAGTAGCGGCTATGAGATAAATTTCCTAAATTTGTTGACATGTAGCAAAAGCCAACACCACTTGAAAATCCACAGAAAATGATAAAGGATGATTGCTAAATTTTTTAATTTAAAAACACAAACTTTAAATGCTTGGTTTCAAGAAATGTAGTTTTAACACTTCGGTGCACCTAAAGTTTTGAGTTTTATTTCTAACAATACTAGCGTAAAATAAATAAATGTATGTCACCATGTACGTAGAGCCTTGTTTCCCAAGCTTATACTTCAAAGGGCACACAATAAATTATTTGTGCCATTTGAGGCCAAAGGGCACCAACATATGTGCCCATAGACCAATGGCAACAGTGCAGCTACTATTATATTGTCCGTGCCCTCTATGGGCGTCACCATTACTCAAAGAGCACAATACTGAGTTCTGTGCTCATGATGTCAGCACAAATAAAGGGTGTTTTGTGCCTACATTCTGACAAAGTTGTCAGACTACCTTTCCCAGCCATGTTGGCACTTAAAATGTAATTGTGCCTGCATGAATTAAATAAAGGTCGTACCCAGTGCACAAGGCTCCCGCTAATATTAAAAAAAATCATAATTTGAAAAATTGAAACTGAAATTGAGGTTTTTTTTTCTTAATTTTCATAAAATGTAGAAGGCCTACAATTCATTCTCAATCTCACAAACATATATTGTAATGTTACATATTTCATCTCTATGCAAAAAGAACTTGAAAGCAGACATTTTTGGACAGATGCATCTTCCCCAGCAAGCCTTGCACCTCATCGAATCTCTGCTGCTCCATAAACGAATTAATGAAGATGATCATCAGGAGAAGATCTTCCATTTTTGTTTAAGTATTCCTTCAAATAGTTTTTCCCTATCCTCGTACACAACAACATTAGTAAACTCAATAATTCAATGATTATAGTAATGTAAAACAAGATAATCTTAATACATAAGAATAGAACCCATCTTTGCTATTTCACAAATAAATTAATCAAACGGTCTATATGGAATCTGGACCTTTTTCTGCCAAGGTTACGAAATGAAACCCAAATTCAAAGGTTATGAATCAATACCTATTAGTCGGATTTGAAACAGAAGCAGATCAACGTCAAATATCAACCATTCGTAACACACAATATATCAAAATGAAGCTGGGACTAAGAGGAGTTCGATTTTACCTAAATCGAGGCCAAAGGATGGCTGGAGGTGGCTGGAAAATGGCTTGAAAGTCACGGCCAGTTTGGGTCTCTACGAATCCATGACAGATTCAACCAACAAAGCTCGAATCTGGTCCCTAGGACTGTGAAGAGTTCGTTTATGGTATCAATATCATCGTCTTCAACGAGATTTGGGCGGGAAAAGCTCGAAAAAGCTGCAACTCACCAAAATAGTGGAGATCGTTAGTTCTTCGTTCAATCTCGCAAATGTGGTGGAAATTTTCTCATGCAAAGCCAGAAATCGACTTAGAACATTGAAGGAATTAACCAAAGGTAGTTACAGACCTTACCTCGGTCGGGAAGGCGATGAACTCGCCGGAATTCTCTCGGGTTCGAGACGTGTGGTTCTCCAATTTGAGGTTCGAGTCAAGGGTTTGGGCACTAGTCTTGTGTTTGGAGACGAGATGGTGGTGGTTTGGTGTTTAAAGTCGTCGGAGAAGGTGGTGGTTAATAGTTGTGTGGCTCGGGGAAAAGAGACTAGAGGGAGATAAGGATGAGGGGAAAAAATGAGAGAGAAGTGAGGGAGTTCGACTGAGAGCATAATGAGACCGATAGAAGAGGGAACAGAGGAAGGGAACAGAGGTGTGGGCCTCAGTGGCACACACTCCAATTCTACATAAAGAAGATAATTTCAAACAAATGAGAAGGGAGAGAGGCTGGACTGGCTGGTAAAAAATAGGCGGTTTTAAAAAAAATTATGGGTGTGGGTGGGGCTGGTTTCATGAGAAAGTAATAAAAAAATATATAATTGTGTCCTTTACAAATAGTAAAGGAGTGAAAACATATTATACTAGAATACAAGCACAAATCCATAATTGTGCCAACATATTATTTTGCTATAGAGTGATTTATTATTTATTAATATTTACTGGACACAATGTCTAACATCGGTGTCATACAAAGGATTTTATAATTATTAAAAGGGTTTTTATCACAAATAATCCCTAAAATTGACCCACCCAATCAAGATGGTCCCTGAAATTGAAAATCCATTAATGTAGTCTCTGAAATTTGGTGTCGCAAACCAATGTAGTTCTTCAGTCATAACTCCGTTATTGTTAGCCTATTTTGAGACTAGAACATTGCACAGCATTAAACAGCTCCATACCATTATTTACCACAATTTTATAATCTAACTTTTTGTGTGTGCTAAATGTAAAGACAAAAAAAACTAACAAACAAATTTTTATTGGTTTGTTGACTTTTATTTGAATAAATTTCGACTCCGTAATTTTTTCAAGAACTGATCCAATTGGTAAAGCCCTGTAATTTGACATCATAAAGTATCGAATAGGAAAATAAATTTAGAAAACATCCACTTGATCCAAGTAGTGGATCTGCCAGGTGATGGTGATGAAACGTGTGTGTGTGGGGCACCTTGATCAATAAAAACTAAAACTAAAGTATGATTGGTGTCTAGACTGGTGAAGGAAGACACGAACATTGTGCTTATAAAATCAAATGATTTAAATATATTAAATTAGAGGGCACAAAAATGTTTTTAGTGTTTTTGTAAATTAATAAAAAAAATTTAGTATTACGGATATCCATAAATAGTGACACAAACTTTTGTGTTCAAATTTTAATAGGCACAAATACATTTTTGTTTAGACACTAACTAATGTGCCTTTTTGTTCAGAAAGCACATTTGTGATAGTTTTGTGTTCATTGACATCTAAGAGCACCAATATATATTTGTGTTCAATGAAAATGCAAAGGGCACATATCAATTGTGTTCTTAGCCCATTTTTCTTGTAGTGTTTATAGGTTTGGAGACAAGAATAAATGTAAATGTTCTATGCTTTTTTTACATTTTGTACATCATATATATCGTCATCAAGTAAATCGTACTGGTCAACATATACAAAGATTACTAAAATTAACTTGCCATACATACAACAAACAGAAGGATTACCAAAATTAACTTGCCATACAGTAACAAACGAAAAAAGAAAAACATGAAGAAAAGGAAAGGAACAGGAAAGATTGCAGAATCAACATATAGAGAAAAATGAGAGACATGCGTGGTATAGATAAGAATTTTAAAACCTAACCCCTAACCCTAACCTTAATCCTAACCCTAACCCTTATCTTTGAACAACCCTCCACAATATCGCCCAATTAATATATTTATTATCATAGTTGAGGGTTGGAAATTCTAAATTTGCTCAAAGCATTTCATAGTTGGTTTATTGGCATATTGACAATGGACAAAAACGTGAGAAGTATGTTTTGGATGTAAATTACACATTAGGGCAAACATTAGAAATAGAAAAGGATTGGGTTAATCGTTGTCTTTTGTTTAATCGATTCTGAATGAGAATCCAAGAGAAAATATTAATTTTAGTAGGTAATTGTTGTTTCTAAATTTTGAATAATAATGTATCGATACCATTTTAATTTCTTTTGTTGACTTATATAATTTTGTAGCCGTTTTAATGGGAAAAAAATACCATTTTTAAAGAGAGATCATACCCTCCTCTCATTTGTCATAGGAATATTAATGGTCGTCGTACCCAGTGCACAAGATTCCCGCTTTACGCAGGGTCTGTGAGAGGTGAATGTTGGCTAGATTAATAGTTAAAAAAAAATTCAGATTGTCATTAGGTATAAGTTTAACTACTCAAATGTGTGAAGATGAGTTGTGACTAGGTTAATTTAGGAGATAATAACTTCTGTTTTTTTTTTAATATGAGCAGCAATTGTAGATTTTTATGCACTTATCAAAGGTGGGTGTATCCTACTAATCCGAGTATACTGCAAGTTTATGATACTAGTCTATCTCTTAAGCTTTAGTAAACTTAAAAAGAAGACATAATCTCGATCTAACTAGAACAATGTGAAAATTAATTCCCTGTCAATTATGTAAAAAAACATGTACAACAACATACACGTAGAGTTTTGTTTCTCAAGCCTACAACCATTTAATTTACTGAGTGTTTCAACTTCTATCTCTATTTAAATCATATTTTATAAACTATGACCGTTAACTTACTTAAAAATAGTTCATGGGATTAATTTCAACTGTGACAATAGTTCTAGTGGTAAAACGATAGTTTATCGAAAAAAGGCAAATTTAGATATTCAAGGCTCCATACACATGGGACAAAAACACACTTCAAAATTTATTCACTTTATCACTTAATACTATAACCCGGACTCCAGATGTCTAATTTTCAAAACATTTGATAGTTATATATAAAGGTTTTAACCAACTAGAACTGATTTAAAATCACTCCTACAGATTGAATAGTTTTCATTTAATCCAAAATAAAATAATAATAAAAACCGGTGAGGTAAACTTTAATCAATGGAAGCTTGGAATTCGAGTTTGGGACACCTTCCAATTTCAAGAAGAGAAATATACGCTGGACCAAAAGTTAGTTGGTAACCGTCTTAGGTTTATTATGATAAGCAAATTTTTAGCAGTAAACCATATTTTAATCATGGACAAATTGGTACTGTAATAAACAAATCCAAACATCAATCTTTTTAACTTAAAGAACACCGAAAAATGGATTCTTGATTGCAGAGTCGAGCTCAGACCCAGCTGAGTTCAGCACTGCCATGTCAACCTTGTCCCTGGGAAGAAACAAGAACTCGCCCCCTTCCATCCTCTCAAACTCGCACAACTCAAGAAACTCGACGCCGCCTTTTAGCGAGCCAACCCTTTCCTGTGTAGGCAATGAGTGAATTGACAACAAAAGAAGACATGAGTTATTGACCAAAACAAGAAATATGGACATTGAAAGAGTAAACTAGACCAGTAAACGGATCTGATTTTGATCGGATCAGCCTAACGGGATACCGGATTCAGATCATAATCAGATTATTGAATTTAGTTCATATTATTATCGCATCAGATCAACTCAACTCCACATCTGATTTGTTAAGCTAACTGGATACCGGATTCGGATCATAATCAGAGTATCATATTGAGAATGTCAATCCATATCCTATGAATTCCATCGGATTCCAATCGATTAGATCCGGATCAAAACCTGATCCATTGACAGGTCTAAATATAAGTTAATAGTTAATAGTGTGGTGACCACGGTATACGCAAACTTTAACAGGGAAGGTGAAAGAGAACAAAAATCTATAAGGAAAGATTGGACTCAAAAGCGAGCTGTTTCTGTGCAAGATAAGTTGTTCTACCTGGAAAGATGGGTTAGTGAGTCGAATCTTTCTAAATTTCTCCTCATTAGGATTTTTGGCAACATTCCCTACAAAAGTTAAAAGAGTCTGGAATGCTCTCTTCACTTTTGCATCGTCCTCCTACACACAGAAAGCAGAAATAGGTAAGGCCATTGTCCACAATCCATACAACATAACTTTGAAAAGATAAATAATGAGAGCAGTTCTTTTCAAGCAATATTATTCTGCATTTTTGTTTGCTTCTTTTTTATCATTTCAAAAAGCAACTTCGGTTAAACTCAAGGGTCAATGTGTGAGTGACATTAAAAAATACCCCAAGGCCTCATTTCGTATATGGAGGATTGGAAATGAAAGAATAAGCCACTATTTAGGTATGTTGATGGAGGATATTAAAAAAATTGTGACCAATTGGAGGTAGGAGATGGATTACTTAAAAAGAAAACTTATCCATTCCAATCCTCCCCAAAATGGTCAGATTAGAACGGAGATGTTTTTTTTCATGTCTAATCCATAAAAATAAAAAATCATTCTCCTCTACCTTCAATATATTTTGAAGTTATCCATTCCAATTCAATCCTAGACACCAAACGAGTCCTAAATGAGCAATTGACACTTAACTTTTGGGCCTTGTTTGTTAGAGAGGATTAGCTTGGATAGGACTATTCACTATATTGGAGGCATTTTGAAGGGAGAAATAGATGACAATTTCCCTATTTTTGTCCAAGTTGAAGGTCACTTATTAAGAAAAGTTGTCCCTTTTAATCCTACCATTTTTGTGGGGATTATTAGAGATATCGTTTCTTCATGAATAACCTTCAACTTGAACAAAATATGGAAGTTTTCATCCTTTTCTTCCTTCAAAATGCCTTCAATATAGTGAATAGTCCTATCCAAGTTGGTCCTCTATCAAACCTTGTCTTGTTCCAGAACTGTATGTGGTTCTCTAGAAAGTTGCTCAATATGAAGAAATTATAATATTGTTTCTTTCCTAATGAATTATTTGACCTTACAGGCAACTGTTTTTACCTTGTGATTCTGCTTGAGAGATCGCAAACATTCTCTCATTTGCTCTGTTTTTGTGGCAGGCCTTATAGGCAATGAGCTCTGCACGTTAGATACAAAAATACAGCAGAAATCACATTACTACAGATTTCAAACAATTTCTGAATGGCATTCACTAGGCAAATAGTATATACAAACAAGCTCATGCCTTTTTCTCTTCCACAACAGGTGCAGCAGGTTTTGCAGTTGAAGGATCCTCTACTGGCAACCCAAGTTTCCTCCTCCTCTCTGCCTGTGAAGAGTGATGAAGAAAGACGAAAACTGATTTCTTATTTTATAAAAAAAAGAAAAGAAAAACCAAGATAGATTGACAAGGGGAAGCAATTCCTAACTTGATTCTTTCATTACTTGTCACATGAGATATAGCAAGGCTTTGTTGTAAAGCCATGATCACAAGGCTTAATTGTAAACCCATCATAGTTTGTGAGTGTTTTCAATAAACTTTAAAAGGAGGGGTGGGCTAGAGGTGGGTATCTTCTTTATACGAATCCGAACGCATTCATGATGCATGTTAGTTAACCCTCCTGCTATATATTAAGTTCAAAATATGAAAGGAAACACAATATTCAGATTAGCTGTTTATATGAACAACTATGGGAATTCGTTGGGTGCACGTTATAACTCGACTTATATGCAATCGGCCCCACTTTCACATACTTTCCAGTGCACAAAAGTAGGGTAACTTGTATGCTAACTAAAAATGTCTAATTCAATCGCATGTGCACCATTAAATACAATCCTTTCACTAGTTCTCTCTCCTTTTTATCAGAAGAGGTCTTTGTGCCTCTGCAAGAGACAAATAAACCAATAAAATGAGACCAAAGACGAAAAGTCTTGCAAAAGTTTCTAAAATCTGAATGAAGATATTCAGAGTCTCCACTGTAAGCCAGACTCCGTAAGCCCTACAAGATAGGTTAGGATTTCAATGTCAAACATGCCTGGTACGGATCTACTTATATATGCCTTCAGACTAACTCCTACTATTCTCGGAATCTCAGTCTGTTCCTTGGATTAAGTGTTCAAACAATGCTTTTCTCTACCTATTATTTCTTCGTCTGTTTAGCTTAATTTAAGGTTTCTTCTGCAAATATAATTCAGACTTGACTTGGGAAAACAAAACAAAAGACATACTTCTGGTATGGCTCACGGGTCTCCTAGAGGAATATTTTAGACACATGATTAAAGAATGCAAATTTACCAAATTGCACTTAAAGCCTGTTAAAAACAACACTGCACAAGGACACGTCGGACAATACAATACTCACCCAAAAACCTAGTACTGAAAACTTTTGTACAATATTAAACAGTGGTTAAACATATCTTTACCTTATCTTCCTCCAACTTTTGACGAATCTTTTCCCTAGCTCTTTTCTCTTCGTCTTTCTCTGCTTTTCGCAAAGCAATAATCCTATCACAAAGAAACATTTCCATGCCAATGGAAGACGAATTCAGGTAATGAAAGGGAGCATTTGATGTCATTAAATGGTAGATTGGAAAACAAGCACAAGATGTAACACAAAAGATTCAGTAAATGAAGATAAACCTTTTTCTTTCATTGTCTTCTTCTGTTCTCTTCGCTTCTAGGAGTTCCTTGCCCACTCGAATCCTCTCCTGAAGAACCACATACAGAGAAAAAGGAATCTATCATTTACATTGGATCAAAACACTAGTAGAATTGAAAATTGAGAGGCTGTATTATATATTGTACACATAGTCCTAGCTTCTGAAGGTTCCTCATAAATTTTTAAAGTAAATGAATCCACCAGAAATACTTAAGCAATGAGCATAAATATCTAGAAAACTAAAATTTAAACATATGTTCTCCTTGAATTGCACAAGCAAAAAAAGGACCTCATCGAAAAAGCCAATTCTTTTATTGACATCATATTAACAAAATAAGGGGGAATATTAATATTATAAATTGTCAAAATTAAAATTAAAATTCTTCATAGGGGAACATGAAGAAACAATACTTAATGGTGAAGAAGGAAAAGCATGTCCAACAAATTTGTCTTTTGTGGTAAAAAAGGAACAATACTTAATGGTGACACACACACATACATACAGATGGAAAAGGTTACTCCTGCAATGCAATTATGGACAAGAGGGCAGACATTAAAAGTACCTTTTCTTTCTCTCTTTCCATTCTCTTCTCTTCTTCTTCTTTCTTCTTGCGAGCTTTCTCCCTTGAGGTTGGTTGGAAAGAATTATAAGACAAAAGTTAAGTAGTGAGAAGCACTGAGCAAGTCTAAAGCAATTTTCAAACATGAGTATTTTCCCAAAACAGCATTGTCAAAGAAAAAAAAAATTAAGCAAAACTATAGGATTTATATTTCAAATGTTGCAAACATAGCATTACAGATTTTGGAAATATACCAACAAGATAAGTTCAAGTACAAGGAAATTTGAGATCAAAATCCCTAGCACGAGCATTACCCCCAAATCAATGGAATGGTGAACAACCAGTTGTTAATGTAAAGGGTTCAAATAGCAGAGTACAATTTCCAACTAGGGGGACTGAATTTTCAAGCGATTAGTTAGCTCTCAGTTATAAGATGAAAGCAGTAAATGGGAACTTCAATCTAAACAAAACCTTGCACATCCTAGAATTATCAGCTTCAACATGCAAAACTGGAACTACAGCATCCAAAAAAAAGAATGAGATAAATATTCTGACAAACAGCAAACTAGAATGAGCAAAAACTTTGGTATCAAGATGATCTAATCTAATCTATTCCTTTTTTTATCTAATCAAAATGAAGCCATCAGTGACACTAACAATGCATGCATAAAGAAACACTACCTAAGCTCTTGTTGCTTGGCTTTCAATTGTTCTGGCGTGAGAGAAGGTTTTGGAGCCTCAACTTTGCTGTTGATTGGTACCTGAGCCCAAACAATCATAAGTCTTAATGAACATAAATTATCCCTACTGCCAATCTCTCCTCATAACCTTTCTTTCACCTCCTGATGCAGGAGAGACGTTCAAAATTCAAAAAAAATATATTTGTTTTAGAATTAAATTAAAATTTGCATTAGTAATAGAATTTACAACACCATTTATTACAGGACTCCTCAAAGACTCAAGAAGTTCATATTCATAGCCTTCTAACGTTGTTCAAAGAGCACCACAACAACAAACCAAAGAAACAATTCCTGGACTTTGCTTGAAGCAAAATAATGTATGAGAAAATTTCAACCCGAAATTTGTGAGCTTCCAAAAAATATATTTATAGAAGTTTATATGTATAAATGCTACCACTATGATATAATGTCAAACATGACTAATGTCATCAAGTACCTAACTACTCTATCCAATCTTTTGTATGGAGAGAGAGAGGGTGAGAGAGAGAGAGAGAGTAAGAGAGAGAGAGAGAGAGAGAGAGAGAGAGAGAGAGAGAGAGAGAGATGCAAATAGTTCATATCTTATCAAGCAAAATAAATGATCATACCAAAGGCATTTCATCTATGTTCGGATCAGTCTCATGTTCAACTACCCAATTGACAGCAGCCTCCAAGCTCGCGTTACCTAAAAAACCCCAAAATTATAGGTTGAGAGAATTGAAATTGTAAGATCACAAACTTATATCATGTGTAACTGTTTCCAAAGGAAAATTCACAAGCCCACAACCCTATAGACGATCAAACAACTATTGCTAGGCAGTTTTACCAAAGTAACCAAACTAACCAGAGACAGCAGAATGCAAAGAATTGCATAAACTAAGGGATCCAAATCCAATCAACTAAACATTCACAATAGGGTTTTCCACCCAATCATTTAAAATCAAGAAAGAGAAAGAAAAGAATAAGAGAAGAAAACTAAAACGATGCACAGGAGCAACTTTCATAAATTATAATTCTGGTGCTTTCCTCTTTGCAGCCTATGTTTATGGGTTCATATAGGCGTCTTCATTCCATTTACTCTATGTAAATAGAATATGTTTTATTTCATATAATCCACCGTCAGTTGTGTAATGGCAGCTGGAGAGAGAACAGCCCAGAAATTATAAACAAATGAAGCTGGATCCTAAACATCAGAGGAACATCAAAAGGAGTCTCCAGCTAACTTGTGACACTATCAAACTCTAATATTTGAATTAAAAAAAAATAAACTTTACTACTCATGAAGACATCTCCTCAGATCTAGCAACAAAAGAAGTTAACATCAAATTTTTTAACACTTAACCCCTATAAGTGGCAATATTCCAAATAATAGATATGACAAGCCTCCAAATTATTATAAGAACCTGTCATCTTGTCAGAGGAACAAAAGAGTGGGAAAAGAAAAATAAAGCCACTAATAGCAAGCCCAGAGACAGAAGCTTCAATTTCAGTTTCAAAGAGATTTTAATTTTTTTCATCCGCTCACCAGAATAGTGAAGTGCACGGGTTGCCCGCGCTGTTGAAAAGCCCATTCCTTCAAGTTCCTCAAGCAGCTTTTTGTCAACCTCTGGAACGACCATTTCTAGATGAAAAATATTGAATAAATCAGGTATTAATCGAATTAATAAACCAGACTAGCAAAAATAACTAACCATCAAGAAAAAAAAATAACAATCGCAGTATGTTTCCATTCATATATAGACAGGTTATAAAGCCTGATTCAGGAATTGAGTAGACAAACTAAATTCATTTTCCATGTTGATCTACAACCATTAGTTTTAAGCCCTGGCTGCTGACAGTCTTCCTGATGAATAATTTTGAAGAAAGACCACTAATATTTTCTATAGGAAGAAAGACCAACAACAAAACAACAATTAGAACTACATGTTGTCGTATATTTAGACTCTTAATTTGACTATAACTTAGATACACAGTCTATCTTAAGAAAATATAAAACCAATGTGAAAGGCATGCTATTGTAAGAAAACTCCATCTACTACTGAAGGTACAAAATCAATCCAAAAGGAACCAAAGCCATTCAAACATAACCGGTTTGCCAACAGCAAGAAGCCATGCACAAAAAGGCACAAGGAAATTAACAGTCCCACAGCATCCAAACAACAAACCTCTAGTTATCGTTACACAAGTTCAACAAACTCATACAGTAATGTAGCATCTACCCAAAACTGTACAAATAACAACCTATTCCTAAAAATTAAATGCCTTTCAAAATACAAAACTACAAATTCCATCCTTTGACTTCACACTGAACTGGAAGAAGTACCTTCTGCCGCATGGCTACTTGCACCAACAGCCTCATCGGACCCTGAAGGACTCACCTTTGGAACCTCCAAACTTATCGGTTTAGCTGCATCCGCAGTCTTATCAACAAACTCGGTGTGCCCAGTTCTTTTGGTGTGCAAATCACTTTCCTGCACAATCAAAGCACCAAAACAATTTGCTTTATTGCCAAGAAAACATTAGTCTAATCTTCAATCATCCGAACATAAACCTATGCCATAATCATTCATTGAACTCCGTATCCTACTACATTGCTCATTCTCTAACCCCAAATAACCAAAAGATCTTTAAAAAAACTCTCGAATCCAAATGAAACTGAATTTTATTCCACCAGCAATAAAATAAACAGTTTCAAAATTCAATGATAAATCCATTAAATATCTTAATCCAACAATAAAGATACTGAAATCCAACTAATGCATGTGAAAATTAAGCTAAAATTATACTGACCCAGATAAACAAATCACTAACAAGGCGAAATTAGAAAGAAAAAACAAAGGAAATTCAGATAGAGAATAAAATCCGATAAAAATTTCCAAAATTCACAAGCAAATCCAGAAAAAATGTGAAATCAAGGGAAGAAAAAAAAGTTCAAAATTCGATTGAGAAAGAAAGAGTTAGGAAGTATATATACGGTTTTGGATCGGCATGGTTTGCCGCAAGAGGAGCAGACGAGGTTGAGAACAGCTTCGGTTGACTCAGAGAAGTTGGAGTGGGAGGTGAGCTCGGCGTGCTCTTGGGCTTCCTCCACCGACCTCAGCAGACTCCCGCAATCGCCGCACTTGAGCGATACGCCCGCCATTGATGATTGTCTCGGTGGTCAGTGGAAATCAGGAGTCTCTTGTGCAGTTGGCTGGCTCCTCAAGTTTTCTCCTCCATTTTCTCTCTTTTTTTTCTTTTAAAACTAGGAAAAGCGAAGTGGGCTGCTCGACCCAAAAGCTCAATCTGCCGCCAACAAAGCCCCAAAGCCCAATTTTTATCTCAGCCCAGCCTTTATTTAGCCCAATCCAATTCTCAAAGGCCGAAGTACCAGTTTGGTACTGCTTACCTTTTAAAAAAATGAAAACTAACGAAAAGTCCAAAAAAACTTTCCTTTTAATGAAAATTCATTTTTAAAGGTATAGTGAATAGTATCAGGGAACTGTATAAATGTGGTTTTTCGTTAAAAGTGAACAGTACCATGAGTGTTTTGTTAAAACTCTCTTTAAAAAAGCAGGTATGAAAAAAAACACCCAATTTTTTTGTGTTTGGTAAACTTTCAAAATCAGTTTTTTTCGTAGTTTTGGATGAAAAAAAAAACTAAAAAGGCAAAGTAGCAAAACCCTGTTTTTTATCACAATACATGGTTGAATAGTGCCATTAAATGAATTTTTCAAAGTGGCAACCTTACCCTATCTTTCTCCTTCATACCAGTTCTGGACTCCACCCCCCCCCTCTTTCTCTAGTCACTCTCTAGCGCCGTACTACCTAGATTCACCACCCATCCCCTCCATCTTTTCTTACTCCCCAAATTCGCCACCCTATCTCTCTCTCAATCCCCACCAAATACACCCATCGCCACCTTGCAAACCATGATCCCAACCCACTCCCTGCTAGATGATAACCCATATCCCACCCACTCATCCACCACCGCACCTTCCAAAACATGTAATGCCCTGGAAATCAGAATGCAGGAAATAGAAATAGGAGTGAGGACGAAGGTTCCAAATCGCCATAATTGAAAGAGAAATGCAAAGGGGCGAAGGTGGGTGAGGATTTTGAAATTTCAAGAGGGATCATTGATGAAAAATGGAAGAAAAGCCATAAACATTTTGGCATAACGAAATATAAAGAAAGAAGAATGAAAAAGCTAGAAAGAAAGGGAAACAAAGAAGAAAGGAAAAAGGAAACAATCATGAACTGTTTGGCAAAAAGAAAGGAAGAAAAGGCCATAAGTTTTTTTATTTTTTTGGTCATTTTACGCAATCACAGCTGTTTTACATAAATATTTACCAAACACTATAACACTGCTTTTTTTCTTTTATTAAAAAACACTTTTACAATTATCATTACCAAACACTTTACTGCTTTATTTCACTGTTGCTTATTCTTACAAACACAGTAGAAACAGTTTTTTTTCAAAGCACAATAATACCAAACTAACCCGAAATCAAGTCAATTCATGTGAGCTCACAAAACATGTCTTAGGTACGTACACTTGTGAAGTTAAAACTCATTACATTGTGTTATTTTTTTAGAATGCTATAGAGCACACATATGTCATTCTCTTAGGTGGACCCGCATGATAGAGTAATTTTAGGTCCACCTGTGTTATAGTAACATCACATGGTATCACTATTGTTTATTTCACTCAAATTATAAGACACATATTTTCCCTTTATTTCACTGAAATTATAAAACTTATATTTATCATTTCTTTATATTATTTTATAAGGATTATAATCGTATAGTATTTCTCTTTTTCTTTTTTGAGGTCAAATGTAATATTTCTCTTTTACGTATTTATTTTGTATAATATTACTTTTGAGAAAGAAAAAAAGGAATTGTCAGAATTATTAATATTACTTAGAAGTTGAGCATGGTAACATGACATAACAAGTTGTTTACGATTCCAAATAATCTGCATAAAATAAATGTTTTAAGTGATCCAATCCCTTGAAGATCATGACTTTACAACTCAGCCCTCGATGCTCAATGAAGAATCCAATATAGCAGCTCGCACTCGTTTGCGTTGCAATTCCAATGTATTTTCTGTTGCCCAAATTGTCCAACAACACTCTCAACTAAATGAATTTATTCTAAAGAAAATTTTGTTCCAAGTATTTGAATTGTATAAGTATTCTTTTGGAAAGGATCTTGGAGATCCGTGAATCATGTCCGTTCGTTGTGCATCGTGCGGTCAGTTTTTGTCAAATACTGTTTGTGTTTAATTTTAAATAGAAATATTTAAAATGATTTATGACCACTAAGTCCACTCATGCGGACCATTAAAATTTGATCCAAATGCTACAAATGAGGGGTCCTTTAAAATTTATAATAACTTTAACCGTTGGATTAAAGTTTAATAACTCGAATGAGTAGAATTAGTAGACTTGATGGAAGGGATCCAGAAATGATTCATTTCCCGAAATTTATGGGCATTGTACTATAATAGTACAATTTATAACGGTAAATAAAACCGGCCAAACATTGTGCGATAAAAGAATGAAAAGCCGTATATTTACGTGACATCTTACTTGAAGAGCAAACCAGGAGGTCAAACTCGTCATTTCGGACACCACCCAGGGGCAAACAAGTAAACCGACAAAGCGGCCTCCAACGCAAACCCTAAATATTTTCCCAAACCCCCCCTCAGCCTATAAATAAGTCACGTTGCGCCTCACAACCCTACGCTTTCATTTCTCACTGCCTCTGCCGCTCTCGCTTGAACAAAGAGTTCGAGCTTCCAGATCTGAGAGGTATTTTCTCTCCTCATTGTCTATTCGCTCTCCGTTTTCTAGATTTGGGACTGCAAACGTTGTTCATCGCTGCCTCTTCATGTTGTTCTCGTTAATCTGGATTTGTTTATGGCTCTGTCGATGCCTGTTTCTTTCGTTTGCACTTGATTATAATTCAAGAACTCGATGATGGTGTTTCTTTACTTTATTATGTTGTAGATCGATTGATTAGATTTTAAAACCAAATTTAAAGCGTTTATTGGGTTTTTTTTTTTAAATTTTTTTTCTGGATTAGTAGGCGATAATATGTTTTCTTAACCCAGATGGCTGTTTTTATTTGATATACATCCGATTGATTTTTTATTTTATTGATTTAGTTGATGCTTATGTTAAAGATTTACCTTTACAATAAATCATAGATGTTATATGAATAAACTACTTTACCATATGGTTTAATTTGTTGTTAATTAAACTGTGAGAATTTATTCTAGTTTAAATTTTTTATTAATTAAACTATGAGAATTATTTATTACTAATTAAAATTTAATGTTTGTTTTTTTAAAGAACAAACTTACTTTATTTGAATAAATTTGATTAATTCTTGTTTTCATATACTGATATCGAACTGTTGATTTAATTCGTGTTGCATGTTCTGGGTGCAGGTAAATTCTAGTTACTTAGCATGGGTAAAGAGAAGTTTCACATCAACATCGTGGTCATTGGCCATGTCGACTCCGGCAAGTCGACCACCACTGGTCATCTTATCTACAAGCTTGGCGGTATTGACAAGCGTGTGATTGAGAGGTTCGAGAAGGAAGCTGCTGAGATGAACAAAAGGTCGTTCAAGTATGCCTGGGTGCTTGACAAGCTTAAGGCTGAGCGTGAGCGTGGTATCACCATTGATATCGCCTTGTGGAAGTTTGAGACCACAAAGTACTACTGCACGGTCATTGATGCTCCAGGGCATCGTGATTTCATTAAGAACATGATTACTGGAACTTCACAGGCTGACTGTGCTGTCCTCATCATTGACTCCACCACTGGTGGTTTCGAAGCTGGTATTTCCAAGGACGGACAGACCCGTGAGCACGCTCTTCTTGCTTTCACCCTCGGTGTGAAGCAGATGATTTGCTGCTGTAACAAGGTATAAATTCCATTCTAATTTCCTGGTCTTTGAATATTATGATTATGTTATTGTGTGTTATTTCTAACTTCTGTGTGCAGTTGGTTCTGTCTGATAAAGGGATCCTCCCATAGTTCAAATACCCCTTGTGGTTCTATTGATTGGCATTTGTGGGCATCAATGATGCCCCAAACTATGGGTAGTGTCCACTTTATGAGGAGATGTTTGGAGTTATGAATTGGAGGGACTGCCTGGTGGCGTAGTTCTTAGTTAACTATTGAGGGTTCGATTCCCTCTCTCTCCTACATGCTTTATCAGTGGTTTATCTCAACCTTCAGTGCGTTGTATTGATGTGTCTTACAATTATTTCTATTGAATATTGCTACTGTTTTTAGTCTCTGCTTAGTTGATTTTTTTTATTGCGTATTGGTTCCATTTTAAATTGAGTCTGGGCTTGTTTTTTTCATTGTAACAATGTACAGGTGTAGGCAAGTCATGTGTCATTTCTTGCCTAACTTAATTCATCTCTGTCATTAACTTAAAAGAACATATAATGATCTATAAATTTGTAGTGTTTATACTCTAGATGATGCCAAATAACTGTTTTATGTTATTTGTTTGCGCCTCCTGACTGGTTGTTATTCACTTGTAAGACTGCTTTTGTTGTACTGGTTTGCTGACTTTGATTGTGTACTTATTCCCGTGTTTGCATTGCTTCTTGTAGATGGATGCCACCACTCCTAAGTACTCCAAGGCAAGGTACGAGGAAATCGTGAAGGAAGTTTCATCCTACCTGAAGAAGGTTGGGTACAACCCCGACAAAATCGCCTTTGTTCCCATCTCTGGGTTTGAGGGTGACAACATGATTGAGAGGTCCACCAACCTTGACTGGTACAAGGGACCAACCCTTCTTGAGGCTCTTGACCTGATCAACGAGCCCAAGAGGCCCTCAGACAAGCCCCTCCGTCTTCCACTTCAGGATGTGTACAAGATCGGTGGTATTGGAACTGTGCCAGTGGGACGTGTTGAGACTGGTATCGTCAAGCCTGGTATGGTTGTGACTTTTGGGCCAACTGGTCTGACCACTGAAGTTAAGTCTGTTGAGATGCACCATGAGGCTCTTCAGGAGGCACTCCCCGGTGACAATGTCGGGTTCAATGTTAAGAATGTAGCCGTGAAGGATCTCAAGCGTGGTTTCGTTGCATCCAACTCCAAGGATGACCCTGCCAAGGAGGCTGCCAACTTCACATCCCAGGTTATCATCATGAACCACCCTGGTCAGATCGGTAACGGATATGCCCCAGTTCTGGATTGCCACACTTCACACATTGCTGTGAAGTTCGGTGAGATCCTTACCAAGATTGACAGGAGGTCTGGAAAGGAGATTGAGAAGGAGCCAAAGTTCTTGAAGAACGGAGATGCAGGTATGGTGAAGATGCTTCCCACCAAGCCCATGGTTGTGGAGACCTTCTCTGAGTACCCACCATTGGGTCGCTTTGCTGTTCGTGACATGCCAGACTGTTGCTGTTGGTGTTATCAAGAGCGTTGAGAAGAAGGATCCCAGCGGTGCCAAGGTCACCAAGTCTGCTGCCAAGAAGAAGTGAACAATGGCCAGTACTCAAATTTTCACTGACGCAAACTTATGCTTTTATGATACAAACTCTTATCTTAGTTGTTTGGTTTTAAGTGGTTTAGTCGGTTTAGTTTGTAGTTGTTTTAATTCCGGTCTGATGTCTTCATTCTCGAGTGTCGGCGCCCAGAATTGGGTTCTGGACAGGCGGTGGTGACCCATCAAGTTTATGTTGTGTCGATTCCGCCTTCTGAAGGAGGATGTTTTTGAGTTGAGACTATTTACTTATCAAGTTTTGTTGCGTCTGTTGAATGGATAATTTTTGAGCTTATATATTTTGGTGTTCCAGTATCTCATTATCTTCTTTTCGTATATTTGGATTTGCTGATTCACTTTTAGTTTGTTTACTCACTGAGATAATGCATGCTTAGCATCCTTAAGTGGCTTGGTGTGGAGGCCTTGTATTGTTCTTGTAGAGCTTTTTACAAAGTGCTTTTCAGAAAGCGATCTGAGTTGGGATTTTATATAGCTTTTTAAAAAAAGTACTTTTTCAGAAAGCAACTGAGGGAGGTTGATACCCTAAACTCTAAACTTGGTCGTGTTTTTACTCTTGACTTCTAATTTTTTTCAATGTTCGAACATGGGTGCGTTCTGGATAGAGCCACATCCTTATTTCAAGAGGCGTTCCTCCTGTTTGAGAAGCCAAACATCATCCATTCGGGCATAAAAGTCGTGCAATTTACAACTTATCACATCCAAATGGGTAAATAAGACCCGCATTCAAAATTCTCCCATGGGAGATTGAGTAGAGTGTACTCACTAGTGAGTAACTAAGTAGGGAAGTAGGAATCCCAGCCAGTCCACCGGACGTTTACGAAAGAACCAACCATTTCCCAATCAGACTCGTCCCATGCGTCGTAAGCAGCTTCATCGAAATTAATATAGCCTAACTCATCATCCCCATTGTAAGCTTCAAAGTCATTTTTCTAAACATCAGTACTGGTTTGGTACCTTTTATAAAAAGTGGGTATAAAAAAAGTTGAGCTCAAAAAGGTATTTGGTACACTTAAAAACAGCTTATTTTCACAGTTTTAGGTGAAAATAAGCTAAAAACGTAAAGCAGCAAAAATAAGCTTATTCTCACAACATAGTAGAATCAGTTTTCTTTCTTCAAAGCATAGTAATATCAAACCAGCCCGAAGTCATGAATACCAAACTCAAGTCAAGGGGGCTGCTCGACCCAAAAGCTCAAGCTGTCACCAACAAAAGACCCAAAGCTTAATCTTCTCCCAGCCCAGCCTTTTGTTTAGCCCACTCCAATTCTCAAAAGCCCAAATCAAGTCAGTTCATGTGAGCTCACAAAACACGTCCTATGTACTTATTACAATTGTGAGAAGTTAAAACACATTACAATACGTTATTATTTTAGAATGTTATAGGGTGCACACATATGTCATTCTCTTAAGTGGACCCACATGATAGAGTACTTTTAGGTCCACTTGGGTCATGGTAACATCACATTCATATTATTATTCTCCGTTTCGCTCAAATTATAAGACTTGTATTTATTGTTTGTTTCACTCAAAATATAAGATGTATATATTGTTTGTTAATATTATTTTATACGGATTATGATCTTATTGTATTATTATTTCACTCAACACGTATATTTGTCTTTTCTTAATACTACTTAGAAGTTGAGCATAATAACATCACCTAACATTGTTTACCATTTCAAATAAACTGCGAAAAATAAATATTGAGTGATCCAATCCCTTAGAAATCATAGCTTTACAACTCCGTCCTCGATAGTCAACGAAGAATTCGGTATAGCAGCTCACGCTCGTTTGCGTTGTGTTTCCCGTTGTAGTGTTGTTTAGGTTGTGCCTAATAAGAGCAAGTTCACCCTTAAAAAAATGTGCCGGCACCCAGGCCATTTAATCTATTCAATGAACAATAATAGATTTCAATGAACAGTAATAGACCAAATGCATCTTCATCCCTAAAAAATACGCTGGCACAAATGATCTCTATCCCTACAAAATGTGATGGCACCCAACCCATTTAAAATATTGTTAAATTTTTATAAAATAATAAATAAAAAAATAGTTTTAATTTCAAATAAGATTTTTAACCAATCTCGTCACACCACGTGTCATTATCCGAACGTACTATTTTGTGAATAGATTTTCGCTAAGATTTTCAACCAATCCCTACGCGCCACGTGTCACTATCTGTTTACAATAATTTAGTTAATATTTCAATAATATTTTCAACCAATCTTGTCACGCTACGTGTCATTATCCGAACGTACTATTTTGTGGATAAATTTCCAATTAGATTTTCAACCAATCCCGACGCGCCACATGTCATTATCTGTTTACAATAATTTAGCCAAGATTTCGATAAGATTTTCAACCAATCACGTAGTGCCACGTTACATAGTCCAGAATCTCATCCTTTCTTTTTTTGTCCATATAAACCCTACATCCCTACATCCATCCTCACACCAAACTCAATCCTTCTTCATCAGTTTCAAATCTTGAGTTCTTATAATGTCTTATTCAAGGAGAGTGTATAAACAGTTTGAGGAGCAACAGAAAAGATTGTTGGCACAACAGGAAGAATTGGTCAATCTCGAGGAATGTGGAGGTGGAGATAAGGCTGTTGCAATGGAGGAGGATGAAGATGATGACCATAGAAGGCTGATGGCCTCGCATTCCCGCCGTGTCATGGAAGCTGTGGGTCAAAAGCCAAACCCAGACATGCTGCAAACTTCGAGAGAAAAAGGGAAATACGAGGTAAAGATCTCTTGGAAATATTATTTTATTCCCAATAGCGTATTCCGTGATCATGTTTTTAAATGTCATTTTAGAATGCAACGAAGCTTGTTCGACAAAATCATGAGTGCTATTTGCAAACATGATCCATACTTTGTGCAAAAAGATGATGCTTTTCATGTTCTAGGTCTTCTTCCTGAGCAAAAAATTACGGCTGCCTTACGAATGCTTGCATATGGAGCATCTGCAGATCAAGTGGATGAGATCGCGATGATGCATTTAACAAAGGAATTGACAGACAAACTGACGGAAAGTATGACATTGAAACAAATTCGATGATAAAGTATGACGTTGAAATGTTTTAAAGATGGGGTATAAAACTGTGATTTGCCCAATAATTAAGGTAGTCTTGTGTAATTTAACCTTTAAATTTTAATTTTACTGTCAAATATGATCAGAAATGTCTTTAACAATTTATAAATCATTTTAAATATTTTAAAAGTACTTTCAAATATACCTAAAAGTACTAATAATTTCTCATAAGTATTAACTATATATTAAGTCTTTAGACGCTGAGAAATTGACAAAGACCACGCGCATTTATGGCGCTGGTTGGGGCAGTCAAAACATGAGTCTCTTCTTTTCTCTTTGGAATTATTTTTTAGGAAGAAAAGTCTATATGTTTCTTATACATACGTAGGCGAGTAGCTAGTGTGTATGAAAAATGAAATGATGCTGATCTGATGATGACATGATGTGAGTGCTCCGAAGAATAAAATATTCCCTCCTAAAGAAACTAATAAGAATAAAACTATCAAATATTTAACATGTACGATCTTGAGCTAAAATCATCTTACAAAATTAATCTTAATGGGGCAGGCGAAATTAAATGGTTACGATGATATAGTACTACTCTTCATCCTTTAAGATTAATTTTACAAAAAATCAATTAAATGAGTGATAATTTAATCATTGATTAGCGTTGTTGAAATCTTATTGTTTAGCTGAATAATATAATATTTAAAAGATGATCTTGAAAATATAGAATTTAGATCATGCATATAACATTACAGGATGACAAACGAACTAAAAACATAAAACCAAAAAGTTTAAATGAGAAGGTTACTGAAATCTAGCTATTAATTGTTTCTACCCTAATATTGAAAAGCAAAGATTAGCCTTGTGAATAAAGCATCTATCACTTTCAGAGTTTCCAATACATACCCACCCAACACATTGCCAATTATCTCCATCCTAACACATGAATGAACTCTGCATGTTGTCACGAAGCAAACACAATTTGCACCAACGTGGTTTGCTGAATTGTCATTTGCGATCCCTTCGTGGCTGGATGGCAAAGCACCACCTGTCTTGGACAATGGTTCTTGCACAACCTTCATGCAGCAGTCACACTCCCCACGTGAATGCCTTGTGCATAAACGAGTTTAACATGCACCTTATTCTCGTCCCTCGATATATATATATATATATATATATATATATATATTGAACTTACCTTCACAATCTAAGTTATCATCATTTGGACTCAGTCTAACTCTTTCTTTTTTCACTTTCTTGATAAAAAAATAAACAAAAATGTGTCCCGTTTCAAATATTAACATTGTTGCGTGGTGCAGGAAGCATGAAGATGGAGATGGTAGAGTCACTGCCAAATTCGAGGATCTTTCACAGGTAACATGCTCGGAAGGGGATGGGGACGATGGTGATGACGATGATGGCGACTATGATTTTGCTCCGGCTGCATAAGTATAGAGAGACTAGTACTACTTGTTATTAACTTAATTAGCATAGCTAGAGTTAGCTCAAGTTTTGTAATGAAGACTATTATATTCTATGTTCAGTGGTCACATATATAACAATATAGTAAACCTAATTATAAATCATTTGTATTTACAAGGCTCTTTTCCTTCTGATGTTATCTTCATTTACATGTTCGTCCTGCGACGAGTGACCTAATGTGTGTATGTTAGGGTGGTCTTGCAAAATACGTACTATGTACGCAGCCAGAAAAAGGAAAAACCTAATAACTTTATTTATTTCTAATGATATTTATGAATCGTCTGTTGAAATTTGAAGGTAAATTCGGTTGATAAATGATGAGTCTATCAATTCTATTAACTTATAAACTCTAAAACTGGTTTTGTAAAAGGAATGACAACAGGCCAAATGATTAAATTTCTTGAATTTCATTTTCAAGGATTAGCATTGAATAATCTTGCCTTCATATGGTATTAGTGTGCAGCCTCAGGTGGTACAAGTCTTCAAATGGAATATTAGTATAAATTACTATAATTAAGAAGATACAAAATTTTGTATTCTCTTGTGGAACCAGATAATTAAGAGCACAGTTCAGATTTTTGTTGTTGTAATTAAATCAAAATATCGGTCAATTCAATAACCATTTTATTTTTGATTTTTAGATTTAATTTGGTTTTAATTTAGAGATGGAGGAAAAGTATACGGAGAAGTGAGCAATGTAAAAGGATGATGCGAAGTTCATGGGAAGAAGGAACGAAAGAGAGAACGAAAAGTGCAATCAAATTCAAATCGCTTTTGTTTTTTTTTAATTTTCATTTGTGTGTGGACCATCACTCTTTGTATTTTTTGAGATAAGAAAGCTCTCTTAGTTAGGTCTCCAAATCTCAATGTGGAGGTTCAAATTCTAAGCGTGATTCAGTTTTATAGGTAAGAGCTGGTAAGCATATTAACTGGACAGCAGCTAGGGCCGGCAAAGTAGCTAGCATAGTGAAAATGAGAAAGCTTGGCTGCTGAGCTGGTAGCGAATTATGGGTGGACACGTGTCTAAATTGTGATTAAAAAATTAATTAATTGGACACGTGTTCACCCGTGATTCGCTAGCAGCAGGAGCTGCTACTGATTTTTCAGTAGCCAAGCTCCGTTCTAGTGAAAATATGTCTGACTAGCAAAAAACAAATAGAAAAGTAACGAAATGATAGCATTTTAGATAAGGACAATGAAATTTTCAGAACATCTAAACATTTATTAGTCCAATTAGACCTAGGTTTACTCTTTGCACCCCGTTATCTCATCCAATGATATCAAACTTTGCAACATAACGTATCTCTCTCTCATTTTTGGGTGAGAGGGATAGCCAACAATAAACTCATGGACAATTTCATTAAGTATAATACTTGCATTCATACTTTGAAGGATGAGCTCATTCTTCATCATGCAAATAATATATATTTATCATAAATATTTTATAATCGAAATCGTTCAATTTCTTACTCTTCATTTAAAGATTACAGCTACAAAAAATTATTTGAATCGGAGATCATTTAGTCATTAAAATGTATGGAACGTACAAATCAACGGTGTAGATACCAAGTAACATATTCATGATGAACCCTTCATTTATTTGATATGTTTGGATAATTAAACGATTTTCGATTCAAATGATTTTTTGTATGAGTGATCTTCAATTGACGATTAAGAAATTGAATGATTTAGATCATTAAGTTTATATACTCAAAATATGTTATTTGCAAATGTAAGAATATGTACATCCCTTCATGGGGATGCAAAGTATTATCCTTCCATTAATCTTAAGAGTAACCTACACTTACCAATACATGTGAATCTCATCTCTATTAGAAATGTGATACAAATATGATATAAAAAATGTGATAAAATATCACTTTTGTAATCTCAATTGAATTACATCTATCCAGACACCCCCACCTTTTTAACCCCACTTTTATTAAAACGTAATGATTTTTCTCCAGTTTCTACAAACCAAACTACAAATACAAGTATAACACTGAAAGAACAGTGAATTATTAAAACCTAATAGTGAATTGGACCATAAATTCAATCTTAGTATACATTCTATATCGCAATTAGGTGATGCGAATTATTCAACCATTTACTACATGATTTTGAAATTTTAATTTCCAAAACCTGCATACGGGTATAGATGGTACTGAAACAAATTGTAGAAACACATCCCTGAATATAGGCCATAAAAACAAAATGCTTAGTTGAATTAGAAGTCAACGGACCTAAATCGATTAGTATAATGATTTTATATCTAATTAACCCTAATACTAAACAAGTAGAAGATGAAACACCAATTCAGAAAAAGAAGAGAATAAAATCCCATGTGAAACCTCTGAATTCAAACTTGGTTGTCTTAGTTTGTACGTGAAGATAATGTAATAGACTCTCTCTAATTTTCTGCTAGTTTCTTTCCTCCTCCGTGCCTCTTTCCCTTACCCTTCGTAGAACCTCAGTTTTCCCATTGATCAACGATGATGTTACTAGCATGTGCCGTCAGTTGGGGTATTGTTTGTCCTTTTTCAGTTGAACGCCTTCTTTTCTCCAAAGGCAGTTTTCGCCCAATCTTCAATCTTAGCCATCCAGTATTCAGATCGTGTGGCCACGAGTGGCTTCTTGGTTTTTCATTGGAAACTACCTTGTTTTTTCTTCATAAAGCAGCTTCCGCTTTTCCACCGTTCTAATACCGTGTTGCTAGGGTTACAGGATGACTTTTATCTTTGTTGACTGTATGTGCTTTACTTTTGAGAGGAGACTTGACTCAAGTATCTCACTTCATTTAATAATTAGAAGATTATTTAGTCATTAAAATGTTAGCTTAAATGTCAAAAGGTCCTTGTGTTATAGTTATATGGTCAATTTTGTTCTCGTGCTTTTTATTTGGTTAATTTAGTCATCGTGTTTGTCTATGTTAGCCAATTAAGAATATTTCATTCAATCTCTTTTAAAAAAAATCATAAGAAAAAATATATGAGATATAATTATCCTTTCTCTTTATAAAAAATGAAAATCAATGAGAAATAACACATTTAAGAGATAAAACTTCCAATCTGAAATACGATTAAGGTTGTGACATAGAAAAGATAGGAAGTAATGTTAGGAAGGAGGTCGGGGAATTAGGAGAATATTTGTTTTTTAAATTTTAATTTATTTCATTTTTAAATATTTTAAATCAAATAAATAATTTTATAAATAAGTTTACAATAATTTATAAATTTGTTTACAAAAATTAGATGAAAATGTCCTTAATTGACTAACAGAGATAAACACAAGGACCAAATTGGCCAAATTGAAAACACATGGACTAAATTGACCCGATGACTAAAACACATGAACCATTTTAACATTTAATCCTAAAATATATAGTACAAATTATAATAAGTAATATATTCATAGTCAATTGTTTATTTATTTGATATGTTTGGATAATTAAATGATTTTTGGTTTTTTTTTTTGTATGAGTGGTCTTCAAATAATTATTAAGAGATTGAATAATTTCGATCGTTGAGTTTATATGCTCAAGATATACAAATGTAGGAATATGTGCATCCTTCAAGGGGATACAAGTATTATCCTTTCATTAATCTCAAGAGTAACGTTATACTTACCACATTTTTCATATCACATTTGTATCACTTCTTTAATATATGTATAACTTATCAATACATATGGATCCGTCTTTATTTGAAAGGTGATATAAATATAATATAAAAATGGACCCTATAAAAAATGATAAAAGTAGTATTTTTGGGTAATGCTAGATCTGATTTAGGATTGTGATGCTTTAAAAAAAACAGCTTGTTAAAAAAATTGGAGTATTAAATGTGTTTGGAAAAAAAATGTTACTGTTGTCAATGACAGCAGAAAAACATAGAAAAGTAGAATTATAGTCTACCATGCTTCTAAAAAAAGTATTTTTTTTAATTTCAATTTATAGTAATCAGTGCTCATTTAATGAACTTTTCTAATGGCAAGTCTACCCCCACATATTTTATAAAATTACAATATTTGCCCATACATTGTTGTCTTTGAAAATTATTATATCACACTAAATATCATATATTTTTTAATCATTTAACATATTCAACAATCAGGGGCGGAGCCACCAAGGGACGAGGTCCCAGGCCCATCCTGACTTTAGCTGAGGTGTGAACCTCATGAAAGAAGATGAATCAAACGACGTCGTTAAACTGTTTTGATTTTAAATCTTTTCAGCTGTTTAATAAAACGACAAGTTTGGCAGGGGAGTTTTTAAAAGAGATGTGCAGTTTTAAATGGAAAAAGCAACCCCACTTCTAGTTCGATTCTCTCACCTAACAGTAATATACACCCTATAATTTTCTAAAGCAACCCACCTTCTTTATTTGCAAACTTCTGCCCCTTTTCCTTCTTTTTCTACTTCTTTGTATTTTCTTAAGCCTTCCACAATCTACCTCTTACTTGGTTGTCTGGGTTTTTACATTTTTTTCTTCTTAGTATTAAATTTAAGAGAATTTTTTCAGTTTTGTGAGGATTACACAAATTGCAAATGTCAACATGTTATGAATTCAACTTTTTACACACTCATATATATATATATATACACATATATATATATATACACACATATATATATATATATATATATGAAAGGCCCCTCCTCATTCAAAATTCTGACTCCGCCACTGTCAATAATTTATATAAAAGTTTACCAAAAATACTGTTTTTATTTTTTATTTTTTGTTAAAAGCACTTTTATAAAAAAAAAAAGTTTACCAAACTTTTTGCAACTCTTTCACCCATCTCAGCAATAATTAATTCTGCAAGCGCACTAAGTAAAAGGCACATGCTACCCTTCCTGTCATTGACTCAAGTCCCATCAGTTCGTGTCCTTTTACTTTGTTGAACGCGGTTTCATCTTAAAGCTGCTTTTCTCCCATCTTTTCCGACAGTTCAATCGTAGCCGTCCAGTGATCAGATCGTGTGGCCACGAACATTGTGGTTTTCCACTGGAAACGTCCTTGGTTTTCTTCAAAACCTGAATGGGAGCGGAACGCTTCCTGGAAAGAACCAACAAGTGTCCCTTTAGTGCTATATATAGAAAAGTAACGAAATGATAGCATTTTAGATAAGTACAATGAAATTTTCAGAACATCTAAACATTTATTAGTCCAATTAGAGCTAGGTTTACTCTTTGCACCCCGTTATCTCATCTAAACCCAATAATAAAGGCATTATCAAACTTTTTGCAACATAATGTATCTCTCCCTCATTTTTGGGTGAGAGGGATAGCCAACAATAAACTCATGGACAATTTCAATAAGTATAATACTTGCATTCATACTTTGAAGGATGAGCTCATTTTTTATTATGCAAATAATCTATATTTATCATATAAATTTTATAATCGAAATTGTTTAATTTCTTAATCTTCATTTAAAGATCACAGCTACAGAAAATCATTTGAATCGGAGATCATTTAGTCATTAAAATGTATGGATAGTACAAATCAACGGTGTAGATACCAAGTAACATATTCATGATGAACCCTTCATTTAGTTGATATGTTTGGATAATTAAACGATTTTCGATTCAAATGATTTTTTGTATGAGTGATCTTCAATTGATGATTAAGAAATTGAATGATTTAGATCATTAAGTTTATATACTCAAAATACGTTATTTGCAAATGTAAGAATATGTGCATCCCTTAATGGGGATGCAAAGTATTATTCTTCCATTAATCTTAAGAGTAACCTACACTTACCACATTTTTCATACCACATTTCTAATAGAAACATGACTTACCAATACTTGTGAATCACATCTCTATTAGAAATGTGATATAAATATAATATAAAAAATACGATAAAATATCACTTTTGTAATCTCAATTGAACCGCATCTATCTAGACACCCCCACCTTTTTAACCCTGCTTTTATTAAAACCTAATGATTTTTCTCTAGTTTCTACAATCCAAACTACCAATACAAGGATAACACTGAAAGGACTGTGAACTATTAAAACCTAATAGTGAATTGGACCATAAATTCAATTTCAGTATACATTCTATATCGCAATTAGGTGATGCGAATTATTCAACCATTTACTACATGATTTTGAAATTTTAATTTCCAAAACCTGCATACGGGCATAGAATCAGATGGTACTGAAACAAATTGTAGAAGCACATCCCTAAATATAGGCCATAAAAAAGAAATTGCTTAATTGAATTAGAAGTCAACAGACCTAAATCGATTAGTATAATGATTTTATATCTAATTAACCCTAACACTAAACAAGTAGAAGATGAAAACCAATTCAGAAAAAGAAGAGAATAAAATCCCATGTGAAAAAACCTCTAAATTCAAACTTGGTTGTCTTAGTTTGTACGTGAAGATAATGTACTAGACCCTCTAATTTAGAACTTTAAGCTCCTCCGTGCCTCTTTCCCTTACCCTTCGTAGAATCTCAGTAATAATTAGTTCTGCAAGCGCACTAACTAAAAGGCACTTGCTACCCTTCCTATCATCGACTCAAGTCCCATCAGTTCATGTCCTTTTGCTTTGTTGAACGCGGTTTCATCTTAAAGCTGCTTTTCTCCCATCTTTTCTGACACTTCAATCGTAGCCGTCCAGTGATCAGATCGTGTGGCCACGAACATCGTGGTTTTCCACTGGAAACGTCCTTGGTTTTCTTCAAAACTTGGGGCGGATGCTTCCCGGAAAGAGCCAAAGATTGGGAGCGGAACGCTTCCTGGAAAGAACCAAAAAGTGTCCCTTTAGTTCTATATATACTCTGTTGCAACACAAAAAAACCACTGCCATTTTTTTCGCTTGATTGGAATCACTCTAGTGCCGTAAACAGTAATACAACACCATGACATCCCGTGAACCCTCCTCCTCAAAACTCTGGAGTTACGACGTGTTCTTGAGTTTTAGAGGTGAAGATACACGCAATGGCTTCACGAGCCACCTTCACGCGGCATTACAAGGCAGGGGCTTCGATGCCTTTATTGACGAGGACAATCTGAAAAGAGGGGGAGAAATAAAACCCGAACTGTTGCGGGCAATCGAAGGGTCCAGAATCTCGGTCATTGTCTTCTCAAAGAGTCACGCGGAATCAAGATGGTGTCTTGACGAGCTGGTGAAGATCATGGAATGTAGAGAAAGGCTAGGGCAACAGGTCTTGCCAATATTCTATCATGTCGATCCTTCACATGTGAGGAAGCAGGAAGGTTGTTTAGCCCGAGCATTTCAGAAGCACGAAGATGGCATCCTTGAAGAAAAAGATGACAAAGAACGTGAAGCTAAGAAAGAAAGGGTAAAGCAGTGGAGGGAGGCTCTTACTCAAGCTGCAAATTTGTCTGGCCACCATCTTAATAACGGGTAACCATTTTCATTGGACTTGGGATTCTTTCAATACTCGACTAGTTTAATAGTAATGCTGCTATCTATTTTCGGCTTTTCCACATTTTGAAACATGTTAACGAATGGTTGTTATGCAAATAGCACACAGGAAAAATATGAGTAATAGTAGGACATCTTCGATTTAAAACATATTTTACATAGGCTTGATTAGATTTAAAGAAAAACTAATGAAAATACTTGAAAATTTTTAGTTTTGACGATAAGGACAAAATAAAAGGTAAAATGAATAGTATTAGGTTTGATTTTTTAACGTAAAAATGTAATTTTTCGTTAAAATAAATAGTATCGCATTCTTTTAGTTAGGACTCCCTAGATTTAAACCCCTAACATTTAAAGCTTTTTTTTTATCAAACATATGTGTCTTTAAGGTTCTCGATTCAGACGCTTAGGTACATTGGGCCACAGTTAAAAATTAATTTTCTGCTAATTTTTTTTTTAAGTATTTTTAGAAGTTGAGGCACTCTGTTTTAAGAGATAATCAATGGTTTGTCATTAAGAATATTTATCCAGTTATCTATTTTTAATATCTTTTTCGTACTAAATATCTTGATCTCCTAAATTAAAATATAATCTTATCTTCAAGATAACAAAAATGGTGGATGTTTATATTTTTTTTCAAATTATCATGTGTACATTTTATTGAGAGAATTATTTCTATACATTACTAGTATGCTTATCATTAGTTTTCATACGTTAATTTAATTCATATTATGAATTGGTTCGTTTGTTTTTTATTTTTGGTACATTGATTTTTGTACATATGATTGATTGGTTAGTTTAATTTTAGTACGTTTAATTTTTGTTACGTTTAATTTTTGGTACGTTTAATTTTTGTTTTTTTTTTGTACATATCATTGATTTATAACTTAATTAATATCATAATAATTTTGGTACAAAGAACTAAGAAGGCTAGATTTAGGAGCTTTGGATATTACTTTTGAATCTTAGAAAGGCCAGTTTAAAATATAAAAGCCCAAACAAAAGGAACCAACAGATGGGCTGATGGGTCCACTCAAGCAATTGAAGGCCCAATCGGAATGGAACAACAAATCCATATACAAATTATAAACCTTTTTTTTTTTTTTGTATTTTGGTTTTTTTTTTAGATTAAGCTTAGTCTCTTTCTCTTAATGTAAATTATATTTTTTGTTCAAAAAATGAATTTTTTTTTTCTCTCTTTTGACCATATATGGATTGAATGAATCCTGAAAAATAAGTTATGGAATGAGGACCACAAGGTGTTTCTCAAATGAAATTATTTTTATTTTGTCAAATCAATTAAAATTATTTGTAGAATCTCTCAATGGAAAAGGACTGGTTTGTGTGTTATATATATTATATATATATATATATTTTTGCATTTAGTTAATTCTTTATATTGACTGTTGAGTGAAGGTGATAACTTATAGTAATCCTTCATTGAGTTAATGCTTACTAATTGAGTTTTCAGGCCTGAAGCAAAGGTTATTAAGACAATTGTTGAGAAGAATATTCTGGAATTGCTTCCTGGCACGGATGAATTACAGGTGGCCAAGTACCCGGTTGGAATCGACTCTCGTGTTCAACCAATTATCAATGATATTTTTAGTGGTGGATTAAATGATGTTAAAATGGTTGGAATTTGGGGGATGGGTGGATTGGGCAAAACAACTGCTGCCAACGCCATTTATAACAAAATTCATCATTGCTTCCAGTTTAAATGTCACCTTGGAGATGTTAGTGACACTGAACATAGATATGGTTTGGTTTATTTGCAAAAACAACTTGTTTCTAACATGTTGAAACAAACCGCCATATTCCTGATAAATAGTGTCGGTGAAGGGATCAGTGTAATAAAACGACTTCTTCGACGTAGAAAAGTACTTATTGTTATTGATAATGTAGATAAAGTGGAGCAACTAAGGCCCCGTTTGGGATTGAGGTGATTTTAAAAAAAGTCACTGTGAAAAAAAGCTGAGGGTGTTTGGTAAACTGAAAAAAATGGCTTATTTTGGAAGCTGCTGTGAGAATAAGCTGAAAATCAAAGGAAAAGTTGAAGCTGCTATTTGTTGCTTTGAAAAAAAGCCAGTTTTTTCAAAGCATACGGAGCTACAGTGCTCCTTTAATGAAAAGACACACTATCATCCTGCTTTTTTTTCCAAAAGCACTTTCACAAAAAAGTTTACCAAACACTCTACTGGCTTTATTTCACAGCCGCTTATTCTCACAGCACAGCCGCTTATTCTCACAGCAGCTTTTTTTCAAAGCACAGCAATACCAAACCAGCCCTAAGTGCAATAGCTGGAGATCGTGAGTGGTTTGGTCCAGGAAGTATAATTATCATAACAACAAGAGATCAACATTTGCTAAATCAAGTGAGAGTGAATATGAGATATCCAGCCAAGGAAATGAATGAAGAGGAGGCTCTTGAGCTTTTCAGTTGGTATACATTTGAAAATAATTGCCCTAAAGAAGAATATTTTGAATTATCAAAGAAGGTAGTTTCTTACTGTGGAGGTTTGCCGTTAGCACTCAAAGTTTTAGGCTCCACTCTTTTTGGTAGACCCATAACAGAGTGGCAAAGCTATTTGGAGAAATTAAAAAGAATACCTGAAGGAGAAATTATAGAAAAGCTCAAAATAGGCTTTCATGGGTTAGATTATAATCAAAAAACTATATTCCTTGATATATCTTGTTGCTTTCTTGGTTTGGAGAAGGATCATGTCACAAAAATATTGGATGAATGTGGCTTCTATGCAACAAACGAAATCAGTGTTCTCAATGAACGGTGCCTTATAACTATTGAATGGGGCAAACTAAAGATGCATGATTTGATTCGAGAAATGGGCAAGACAATCATTTCTGAAAAATCTCCTACTCAACCTGGAAGATGGAGTAGACCGTGGAATTTTGAAGCCATAACAGACGTGTTGACAAATAAATCTGTAAGTAGTTTCTCAATAAAGTTTAATATTAATGCTCACTAAATCATATCCTAGTGCAACTGCTTACATTTTATAATAAGAAATTTTAACGAAAAACTACCGGTACTGTTTATTTTAACAAAAAATCACATTTTTACACTAAAAAGTCAATACTGCTACTATTTATTACTATTTATTTTGTCATTATCATTAAAACTCAAAGTTTTCAAATCCTTTTTATTCGTTTTCTTTTTATAATATTATGTAGAAATATATTTATAAGTACAATAAACCTTGACGTGGAAATAGAAGCAATTAAATCGATTTCCAACCGATTATATGACAATTGTTTGCAAGTAAATCATTTTTCTGACGCAAATTACCCTTTTATTATTCATCATAGGGTGAACTGTCAATTTAGTCCATGAATTATCACCTCAGTGGAAATTAGGTCCCTAAACTATTTTTTCAGAAAAATAAGTCCTTAAATTATAAAAATCTGCCAATTACATCTCTAATATTATATTTGAAGCTACTATATTCAAATTTCCGTCAATTTAAGTCACGTTACTTATATGCGATACACATTGGAGGATAGATTAGTAGTTTTTCATAAAGAAATAGTGTATAAAGTTAACTTTGATGGGTAAATTGGTAGTTTTACATAAGAAATAATGTAAGTTAACTGTGGAGGGTAAATTAGATGTTAGATTCGCAACCTATATGAAATGTAAAAGGCTTACCGGCGAGAAAATGACGATAGTACATTCTAAAGTGTTTCAAGTGACTTAAGTTGAAGAAAAAATAGATAAATTAGTTTTGAATATAATAGTACGGATGGAATTAGAAATTTTTAATGAATTTAGGGACTTATTTTACCAAAAAAAAAAATTCGGAAACCTAATTTTCACTGAGATGATAATTCAAAGACTTTGGCACTTCAACCTTCATCATATGTCCTTTTGTATACCTAACAGGGAACTGAAGAAATTGAAGCACTTTCTCTACAGTTGCCAAGCTCTAAAACAAAGGCTAGTTTCAGTACAAAAGCATTTGTCAATATGAAAAAACTGAGATTGCTACGGCTCAACAATGTAGAGTTTACTGGAAGCTTCAAACATTTTCCGAAAGAGTTGAGATGGTTGGGCTGGCATGGATTCCCTTTCGAGTACATGCCGGAGCACCTTCTTAATCAGCCAAAACTTGTTGCTCTTGACCTGCGGTTCAGCAAACTCAGAAAAGGCTGGAAGAATTCCAAGGTACAATCACCCCTAGCGGGTTAGAATTAATTCTCACTCTGATTTTATTTTTAAGCCATATTCTTCTTGGATTTTGAATAAGATTTTCTTGTGGGTTTGTGCAGCCGCTCGAAAATTTGAAAATCCTTGATCTTGCTTGTTCCTGGAAGTTAAAAAAGTCACCAGACTTTTCAATGCTCCCAAATCTCGGAGAATTGAATTTTTCAGGCTGTTCTAGTTTGTCCAAGATTCACCCATCCATCAGTCAACTTAAAAAACTCACTAGGGTAGATTTTCAATGGTGCCATAAGCTTAGGTATCTTCCAGCGGAATTCTATATGTTGAAATCTGTTGAGACTCTTTGTCTGTCGTTTTGTGCATTAAGAGAACTGCCTGAGGGCTTAGGGGAGATGGTATCATTGAGTAAAATTGATGCAAAATTTACAGCCATAAAACAATTCCCCAACGACCTTGGGCGTCTAATTTCTTTACAAGAGTTGATAGTTGGAGGCAATAGTTTTCGTAGCCTACCTAGCCTCAGTGGTCTTTCAAATCTCGTAATGTTGAGACTTGGGTATTGCAGAAATCTTCGTGCAATCCCCGATTTACCAACAAATTTGAAAGTCTTAGATGCAATTTTATGCCCTGCATTGGAAACAATGCCAGACTTTTCGCAAATGTCAAACATGGAACGACTGTTTCTAAGTCATTCGCCCAAAGTCACTGAGGTTCCAGGTTTAGGCTTGGGTAAATCATTAAACTCCATGGCGGAGCTTGATATGTACGGGTGCGCCAATCTCACAGCTGAGTTTAGGAACAACATCCTACAGGTCTCTCTCTATCTCTGTCTCCTCCTACTCTTGTCTTTCTCTATCAATCACACGCACAAACACAACCGCACATGTACAAGTATTTGACACCATATTACATTGTATGTATATTATAGGGATGGACTTCTTGCGGAGTTGGTGGTATTTTACTGAATAAGATTTATGGTATTCCGGAGTGGTTTGACTTTGTCACTGACGGCAATAAAGTCAGTTTTGATGTTCCTCAATGTCAAGGTCGTAATTTTAAAGGGTTGACACTCTGCTGGGTTTGGTCGCAATTCCAACATAAAAGTGTTGCCTTTACTGTTGTAAATTGTACCAAGCATACTACTTCGAGGGTCTCTAGGCTTTCTTGGGGAGTAACAGCGGGTTATTTTCGGCAGGTACAATTATCGAACAATAAGCTCAAGCTCAATTTGCAAGTCGGGGACAAGATTGTTATTCTTTTAGAGGGTTTTGAAGCGGAGAAATTAGGGGTAAATCTAGTATGGGACAAACCTTTGAAGGAAAACAAGAATCTTGGTGATTATTACTATGAATACGACTATGAAGCAGTTCCGGATTGGTTGTATGGTGAGTCAAGTCCGGGACCAAGCCATGGCGCATCTGATAATCATCCCACTAATCAAATGACGACTACTACAGATGAACCCAAACGGAAAAGGCAAAGGGTTTGAAGAGAGAGCATTGCCAGATCGGTTGAGTAGTTGCTATTCCTGCATTATACTCTCCCGCAGACCATGTCAGCTGTCTTTCTAGTTTTCCCAGCTCCATTATTCGGACATTTGATTTGATCGCATCCAACAGATGATTTGTTCCTCATTTTACTGACAATTCATTTGCGATATTGACTAGTTGTTCAGTTGTTAATTGTTGTATGCTTTACATATATCCATATTCTCTTGTGGAACCAAATTATTAGCATCATACTTCGACTTTTTCGGTCCTAAATCAAAATTTTAGATTGAAATGTGCAGTTACTGACCATGGATGCAAACATATAGAAATCGGGACTATAATCTCACTTGGAACCCTTTCTATCAACTCCTCTGCTTCGTCTAACAGTCTGGTACGGCCAAGAAGGTCGATCAGGCAACCATAGTGTTCTAACCTCGCTCAATCACATATATCTTTCTATTGGAGTTGAAGAACTCACAACCCTCATCTACCAACCCTCTGTGAACGCAGTCAGTTAAGACAATAATGAAGGTGAAATCATCAGGCTTCATGCCAAACTGCAAAGTTTTACATACGTATTCAACAACCACATTTCCAGTTCTAGTAGTGAATCCAAGTTCACTTCTAACATATTCATGAATTTCTTTACCAAGCTCCAAAGTTTTCGATGCTGTTCAAGCTGAAATGGTGGTTACAACCGTAGCTTCATCGGGCTTCTCGTTGCTCTCACATGACATCCTCCGAAACATATCCAAAGCCTCCTCAAACCTCCTGCACCTAACATACCTCGAAATCGTAACGTTCCAAGTTCCAACAAAGCCTGTTTCTCTCGGGTATTTCATCAAACACCTGCTTGAAACTCTCAACCATGCCCAATAACGCATTCATGTCAATGAGCGAGTTACACACATACCATCAAACCCAATTCCAGTTTTTACTACAAACACACGAACCTTTCACCTTCCCGAACCTCTCCCAAGCATCCAATGGCTTTAAAACAAATGGGTAGGTAAAATTATAAGGGCACAATGCCTCCTCCCTCAGCCGCCGGAAGAGCTCAAAGGCGCTTCTGAAACTGCTCCTTTTGGCAAACGCCTTGATCATTACATCGTAAACAAACAAGCACGGATCTTTGATGAAACGGAAGACTTTCTCGGCATAAATCAAAGTTTCTGAGAGATGGGTCGGTGCAGAAAATCATGAGCTTGTTGACGGCGGCTCTGTCTTGGTTGCAGGAGGCTGAGTAGGAGATTGGTTATTTTGATTGGTTTACAAGGAAGTTCACTCGAACCTATGTTCATACGCACAGCCTCACCCTTAGGAGGTTGAGAAGCTGATTTTGTGAATTTCTTAAGGTAAAAATCATATGCATGTTCTCCAAAAAAAAAAAACATTCATATGCATTCAGTCAGATGTTTATGTGACCGAGTTTTGTTTTTGTTTTTTTTTTATTGGTACATTGATATTTTTATATTAAGAGGATGAGGGGTTCGGCTAAGCTATAAAATGAGCAACTTAATTTGGTATCGAATTCGTCATCCACGAGATTCAAACTTAAGACCTCTCACTTCCAAGTAGAGAGGAATATCACCAGACTGTAGTACTGAGTTGCTATGTGATTGAGTTTTAGTTGGGCTGTGAGATCAAATCTGTATAGTTTTTATAAAAAAAGCACATTTGAGTTATTCGAGGAAAAGTTAAAGAAATTTACAAATTATCTTTCATTGTTGTCCTTTTTTTAGGCTTCAATTTCCCTTTAAATAACTAGGAGGGTGAATTCAATTGAGATTTTGAGAGATTTTAATAGATGTATAAATATATGGATTTTGATTGAGAGTTAGCCATTTTCGAGCCGTTTTCCTGCCAAACGATGGCGAGTTAGTCGTCGAGAAATGTATTATTCTCGTCGTCTCATCAAGAAGTATGATTTTCGTTTTCGAATCACTCGATCTCGTCGTCTCATCAAACACCTGCTTGAAACTCTCAACCATGCCCAATTACGCATTCATGTCAATGAGCGAGTTACACACATACTGTCAAACCCAATTCCAGTTTTTACCACAAACACATGAACCTTTTCACCTTCACGAACCTCTCCCAAGCATCCAATGGCTTTAAAACAAATGGGTAGGTAAAATTATAGGGGCACAATCCCTCCTCCCTCAGCCGCCGGAAGAGCTCAACGGCGCTTCTGAAACTACTCCTTTTGGCAAACGCCTTGATCATTACATCGTAAACAAAAAAGCACGGATCTTTGATGAAACGGAAGACTTTCTCGGCGTAATCAAAGTTTCCGAGAGATGGGTTGGGGCAGAAAATCATGAGCTTGTTGACGGCGGCTCTGTCTTGGTTGCAGGAGGTTGAGAAGGAGATTGGTTATTTTGATTGGTTTACAAGGAAGTTCATTCGAACCTATGTTCATACGCACATCCTCACCACTAGGAGGTTGACAAGCTGATTTCGTGAACTTCTTTAAGGTAAAAATCATATGCATTCATTCAGGAAATGGGCGCCTTATTTTTTAATTTTTTAGACTAAATATACATTCCTTTTGAAAATTTGATCAAACATTTTACTAAAATTTTGGTTATTAATTTCAGTTTTTTACATAAGTTCAAATTTGTTTAGAATTTTAGTTTTTCATGACTTTTCCTAGACATTTCGTTTTTTTTTTCTTTTCCTCTTATCCCTATATTTATGCATTTATTATCCATCTTCATGCAATTTTTTATTGTTTGGTATAAATTTACTTCTTTTTGTGAATATAGTAGAATATTTATAAAATAAAAAATTGTCAGATTTTATTATTTCGAAGACCCAACACATGATAAAGATTTGTTTGATTATATAACTACGTCTAGTTACCTATAATATGGACACATTTAGTTTTATAGTGGATTTGATTTTTTGTATTTCTCGCTACATTTAGAATGTAAATGTACCAAAAGGGTTATCTGATAGAGACATTTGGTTTTGGGGTACATTTGTGATTTTTTTTTCATTTCGTCTTTTGGTACATTTGGAATCTAAACATACCAAAATGGTTACTTGACAATGGGCACATTTGGTTTTATGGTACATTTGAAATTTTGGTACATTTGGTTTCTCTGTACATTTGAAATCTAAACATACCAAAAGGGTTACATAACAATGGGTACATTTGAATATTTGGTACATTTGGTTTCTCGGTACATTTGAAATTTAAACATACCAAAAGTCGATACTTTTGTTCTCAAATGTACCATAAGTTTTAAGTATATTTTTTTATATATATCTATATGTGAAAAAATATGTATTGAAGACTTTTTATTGAGACATTTTTAATAGAAAGAGAATTTTTTTTTAAATACTAATAATAAGGTAATGAGGAATTAGTTAATTAATTTTTTATTTTATTTTATTAAAAAATGTCATTTAATGCGTAGAAGGGGATTGATGAAATTAAATTCCTATATTATAGGCAATTAGTTGCTAAGCTACCTTATGCCTCTATATAAATGCATTTAAAAAATTAAGGAAAACTAATGAAAAGGGTTTGAAAACTTTGAGTTTTAATGATAAGGACAAAATAAAGCGTAAAGTGAATAGTAACAGGTTTGACTTTTTAGTGTAAAAATGTGGTTTTTCGTTAAAATGAACAGTATTGTGGACTTTTCGTTAAAACTCCCTTTAAATTAATGACATGGAAATTAAATAAATAGAAAATTATTGAGGTGGCAATTGATCAAAGCACCTTAATAAAATCTTTAAAAGGGATGAATGTTTAATCTAACAACTATTGAAAAGATGTATGGCATTCTAATTTTCCCTTCAGGAAATCATGTTTATGTGACCGAGTTTTGTTTTTTTATTGGTACATTGATATTTTTATATTAGGAGGAGGATGAATTCGGCTAAGCTACATAATGAGCAACTTAATTTGGTATTGAATTCGTCATCCATGAGATTCAAACTTAAGACCTCTCACTTTCAAGAGAGGAATATTACCAAACTGTGGTACTGAGTTGCTATGTGATTGAGTTTTAGTTGGGCTGTGAGATCAAATCTGTATAGTTTTTATAGGAAAGCATATTTGATTTATTGGAGGAAAAGTTAAACAAATTTACAAATTATCCTTCATTGTTGTCCTATTTTTTTAGGCTTCAATTTCATTTTAAATAACTAGGAGAGTGAATTCAATTGAGATTTTGAGAAATTTTAATAGATTTATAAATCTATGGATTTTGATGGAGAGTTGGCAACTTTCAGGCCGTTATTAAAATGTATGGAACGTACAAATCAACGGTGTAGATACCAAGTGTTAGAATTCTTTTGTCCCACATCGGCCAGAAGGCTTGAAAACAAGCCATTTATATAGAATTACCCCACTCTAACTAATATCGAGACCTTTTGTATTAAAACCTCACACCTGACGGATTGAGCAGATGGCCAAGTGGGGACAGTATCGGTGTTGTTGGAGTGGGCACATGGCCCGTCTACCTGAAATTTAAGATGGTATAAGAGCCAGGGGACGAGTCTGTACATCCACGTGAACGGGTGGGTCCCCTTTGGCCCTGAGCAAATGGGTGAGCCCCGACTTGGCTCCACGTAGGCCAAGATATGCCACGTGTATTGGCCCTGTGCAAACGGGTGAGCCCCAACTTGGCTCCACATGGTTGCCGATGTGTGGAACTCCAGGTGTGACCCATAAAATGGGGTCTCACGTGCAGGGGAGTGTTAGAATTATTTTGTCCCACATTGGCTAGAAGGCTTGAGAACAAGCCATCTATATAAAATTACCCCACTCTAACTAACACCGAGGTCTTTTGTATTAAAACCCCACACCTGAGGGATTGAGTAGGTGGCCAAGTGGGGACAATATCGGTGTTGTTGGAGTGGACTCATGGCTTGTCTACCTGAAATTTAAGACCAGGTAACATATTCATGATGAACCCTTCATTTATTTGATATGTTTGGATGATTAAATGATTTTCGATTCAAATGATTTTTTGTATGAATGATCTTCAATTGATGATTAAGAAATTGAATGATTTAGATCATTAAGTTTATATACTCAAAATATGTTATTTGCAAATGTAAGAATATGTACATCCCTTCGTGGGGATACAAAGTATTATCCTTCCATTAATCTTAAGAGTAACCTACACTTACCACATTTTTCATACCACATTTCTAATAGAAATAGGATTTACCAAAACATGTGAATCTCATCTCTATTAGAAATGTGATACAAATATGATATAAAAAATGTGATAAAATATCACTTTTGTAATCAATTGAACTGCATCTATCCGACACCCCCAACTTTTTATTAAAACCTAATGATTTTTCACCAGTTTCTACAAACCAAACTACAAATACAAGTATAACACTGAAAGAACGGTGAATTATTAAAACCTAATAGTGAATTGGACCATAAATTCAATTCTAGTATACATTATATATCGCAATTAGGTGATGAGAATTATTCAACCATTTACACATGATTTTGAAATTTCAATTTCCAAAACATGCATACGGATATAGATGGTACTGAAACAAATTGTAGAAACACATCCCTGAATATAGGCCATAAAAAAAATTGCTTAGTTGAATTAGAAGTCAACGGACCTAAAGTATAATGATTTTATATCTAATTAACCCTAATACTAAACAAGTAGAAGATGAAACATCAATTCAGAAAAAGAAGAGAATAAAATCCCATGTGAAACCTCTACTTCGTTGTCTTAGTTTGTAAGTGAAGATGGTGTAATAGACTCTCTCTAATTTTGTGCTAGTTTCTTTCCCCCACCGTGCCTCTTTCCCTTACCCTTCGTAGAACCTCAGTTTTCCCATTGATCAACGATGACGTTACTAGCATGTGCCGTCCACTCTGTTTTGTAGCACTAAGTACCGCCTAAAGTGGAACTACAAGCTCATCAGTTGGGGTATAGTTTGTCCTTTTTCCGTTGAACGCCTTCTTTTCTCCAAAGGCAGTTTTCGCCCAATCTTCAATCTTAGCCATCCAGTGTTCAGATCGTGTGGCCACGAGTAGGTTCTTGGTTTTTCACTGGAAACTACCTTGTTTTTCTTCAAAAAGCAGCTTTTCCACCGTTCTATTACCGTGTCGCTTAGGGTTACATGATGACTTCTATCTTTGTTGACTGAATGTGCTTTGCTTTTGAGAGGAGACTTGACTTCAGTATCTCACTTCGTTTAGTAATTAGGAGATTATTTAGTCATTAAAATATAGGCTCCTCCGTAGAATCTCAGCAACAATTAAGTAGTTATGCAAGCGCACTAAGTAAAAGGCACTTGCTACCCTTCCTATCATCGACTCAAGTCCCATCAGTTCGTGTCCTTTTACTTAGTTGAACGCAGTTCATCTTAAAGCTGTTTTTCTCCCATCTTTTCCGACACTTTAATCGTAGCCGTCCAGTGATCAGATCATGAGGCCACGAACATCGTGGTTTTCCACTGGAAACATCCTTGGTTTTCTTCAAAACTTGGGGCGGATGCTTCCCGGAAAGAGCTAAAGATTGGGAGCGGAACGCTTCCTGGAAAGAACCAAAAAGTGTCCCTTCGGTGCTATATATACTCTGTTGCAACACTAAAAAAACCACTGCGATTTTTTTCGCTTGATTGGAACCACTCTAGTGCTGTAAACAGTAATACAACACCATGACATCCCGTGAACCCTCCTCTTCAAAACTCTGGAACTACGATGTGTTCTTGAGTTTTAGAGGTGAAGATACACGCAATGGCTTCACGAGCCACCTTCACGCGGCTTTACAAGGCAGGGGCCTCGATGCCTTTATTGATGAGGACAATCTGAAAGAGGGGGAGAAATAAAACCCGAACTGTTGCGGGCAATCGAAGAGTCCAGAATCTCGGTCATTGTCCTCTCAAAGAGTTACGCGGAATCAAGATGGTGTCTTGACGAGCTGGTGAAGATCATGGAATGTAGAGAAAGGCTGGAGCAACAGGTCTTGCCAATATTCTATCATGTCGATCCTTCACATGTGAGGAAGCAAGAAGGTTGTTTAGCCCGAGCATTTCAGAAGCACGATGACATCCTTGAAGAAAAAGATGACAACGAACGTGAAGCTAAGAAAGAAAGGGTAAAGCAGTGGAGAGAGGCTCTCACTCAAGCTGCAAATTTGTCTGGCCACCATCTTAATAACGGGTAACCATTTTCATTGGACTTGGACGTCTTAGTAATGCTGCTATCTATTTTCGGCTTTTCCACATTTTGAAACGTGTTAATGAATGGTTGTTATGAAAATAGCACACAAGAAAAATAGCTTCGCTGAAACATCAAGATTTGCAAGATAAAATATGAGTAACAGTAGGGACATCTTCTATTTAAAACATATTTTACATAGGCTTGATTAGATAAATACTTGAAAACTTTGAGTTTTAAGGATAAGTACAAAATAAAAGGTAAAATAAATAGTACTAAATTTGACTTTTTAGTGTAAAATGTGATTTTTCGTTAAAATAAACAGTACCGCATTCTTTTTGTTAGAACTTCCTAGATTTAAATCCCTAACATTTAAAGTTTTTTTTATCAAAGATCTGTGTTTTTAAGGATCTTGATTCAGACGCTTAGGTACATTGGGCCACATCAGTTAAAAATTAATTTTCTGCTAATTTTTTTAAAGTATTTTAGAAGTTGAGACACTCTGTTTTAAGAGATAATCAATGGTTTGTCATTAAGAATATTTATCCAGTGATCTTTTTTTAAGAAAAACTAATGAAAAGAGCTTCAAATTTTTGCATTTTAATGAAAAACCATACACTACCTTTATTTAATGATAAGGACAAAAAAAATAAAATAAATAAACATTAAAAAAAAAAGTCGCGCTGTGCGCGCGCCCTCACCCACCCAATCACCCAATACTCTTATCAAACAATTTCGCTTCTGCAAGTTGCATGTTTACTGTACATGGTCTTGTCAAACTTGCATCCGAACCCAAATTTAATTCAAATCGACTTGTTGCACATCAACTACAACCTATGAAACACTGAATGAAATCGACCAACCTATCGCACTTTCGCGCAAGCATAGCCACAATGCTAAATGCTTCAAGTTCAAACTATCTAGGTAATTACAAGTGGAGTTTCAGATGAAGGAACACTGATGCTTCATCTTACATGGCAGACAAATTTTTGTTTGATTTTCGTTTCGGTGCTTCAATTTTTTATGCATTGGACATCGACATGTGAAGAGGAGAAATTTAAATACGTCATCACATTGATGTTTGGCGACAAAAGGATAAATATATGTGTATATTTTTCTAAGAAAATTAATGAAAATTGCTTTTAAATCTTTGTATTTTAATGAGTATCGAAGAAAATTAGAAGAATAAGATGTGTTTGGAAAGTGAGAATGTGCTAAGAATATTCAAGAAGACGAGAGAGAAGAATGTAGTACCATTAAGTTTCATAAATAATCTAGTAAGTTTCATAAACAGTGTCGTAAGTTTTCATAAACAGTGCAGTAAGTTTCATAAATAGTGTCGTAAGTTCCATAAGCAGTGTAGAAGTTCCATAAACAGTGTGAGGACACATGGGTCCGCGCATCAGATTTTTTTTTTTAATATTAAAATTATGTCTTTTTCATTAAAATTTAAGTTCCTTTTTATTAAAATTTAAGGGTTTTTCATTAAAATTTTAGTCTTTTTAATTAAATAAATTTATAGCATGATTTTTTATTAAAATAAACTTAGTCCAAGCCCTTTTCATGAAAGTTCCCCTTTTTTTAATATTTTTTTCGTACAAAATATCTTGATCTCCTAAATTAAAATATAATCTTATCTTCAAGATAACAAAAATGGTGGATGTTTATATTATTTTTTTCAAATTATCATGTATACAGTTTATTGAGAGAATTATTTCTATACATTACTAGTATGCTTATCATTAGTTTTCATACGTTAATTTTATTCATATTATGAATTGGTACGTTTGTTTTTTATTTTTGGTACATTGATTTTTGTACATATGGTTGATTGATTAGTTTAATTTTAGTACATTTAATTTTTGATACGTTTAATTTTTGGTATTTTTAAATTTTTTAAATTTTTTGTACATATCATTGATTTATAACTTAATTAATATCATAATAATTTTGGTACAAAGAAGGCTAGATTTAGGAGCTTTGGATATTATTTTTGAATCTTAGAAATGGCAGTTTAAAATATAAAAGCCCAAACAAAAGGAACCAACAGATGGGCTGATGGGTCCACTCAAGCAATTGAATGCCCAATCGGAATGGAACAACAAATTCATATACAAATTATAAACCTTTTTTTTTTTTTTTGTATTTTGGTTTTTTTTTTTTTGAGATTAAGCTTACTCTCTTTCTCTTAATGTAAATTATATTTTTTGTTCAAAAAATGAATTTTTTTTTTCTCTCTTTTGACCATATATGGCATGAATGAATCCTGAAAAATAAGTTATGGAATGACGTCCACAAGGTGTTTCTCAAATAAAATTATTTTTATTTTGTCAAATCAATTAAAATTATTTGAAGAATCTCTCAATGGAAAATGACTGGTTTGTGTGTGTGTATATATATATATATATTATTTTTTTGCATTTAGTTAATTCTTTATATTGACTGTTGAGTGAAGGTGATAGCTTCTAGTAATCCTTCATTGAGTCAATGCTTACTAATTGAGTTTTCAGGCCTGAAGCAAAGGTTATTAAGACAATTGTTGAGGAGAATATTCTGGAAATGCTTCCTGGCATAGATGAATTACAGGTGGCCAAGTACCCGGTTGGAATCAACTCTCGTGTTCAACCAATTATCAGTTATCTTTTTAGTGGTGGATTAAATGATGTTAAAATGGTTGGAATTTGGGGGATGGGTGGATTGGGCAAAACAACTGCTGCCAATTCCATTTATAACAAAATTCACCATCGATTCCAGTTTAAATGTTACCTTGGCGATGTTAGCAACACCGAACGTAGATATGGTTTGGTTGATTTGCAAAAACAACTTGTTTCTAGCATTTTGAAACAAACCACCATATGCCAGATAAATAATGTCCAGAGAGGGATCAGTGTAGTAAAAGGATGCCTTCGACCTAGAAAAGTACTTCTTGTTATTGATAATGTAGATAAAGTGGAGCAACTAAGTGCAATAGCTGGAGATCGTGAGTGGTTTGGTCCAGGAAGTATAATTATCATAACAACAAGAGATGAGCATTTACTAAATCCAGTGAGAATGAATATGAGATATGCAGCTGAGAAAATGAATAAGGAGGAAGCTCTTGAGCTTTTCAGTTGGCATACATTTGAAAATAATTGCCCTAAAGAAGAATATCTTGAATTGTCAAAGAAGGTAGTTTCTTACTGTGGAGGTTTGCCGTTAGCACTCAAGGTTTTAGGCTCCTCTCTTTTTGGTAGACCCACAAGAGAGTGGCAAAGCTATTTGGAGAAATTAAAAAGAATACCTGAAGGAGAAATTATAGAAAAACTCAAAATAAGCTTTGATGGGTTGGATTATAATCAAAAAACTATATTCCTTGATATATCTTGTTGCTTTCTTGGCTTGGAGAAGGATCATGTCACAAAAATATTAGACGAATGTGGCTTCTATGCAACAAGCGAAATCAGTGTTCTTCGTGAACGGTGTCTTATAACTGTTGAATCGGGCAAACTAAAGATGCATGATTTGATTCAAGAAATGGGCAAGGCAATCATTTCTGAAAAATCTCCTACTCAGCCTGGAAGATGGAGTAGACTCTGGAATTCTGAAGCCATAACAGACGTGTTGACAAATAAATCTGTAAGTAGTTTATCAATAAAGTTTAATATTAATGCTCGCTAAATCATATCCTAGTGCAACTGCTTACATTTTATAATAAGAAATTTTAACGAAAACTTCCCGTACTGTTCACTTTAACGAAAAACCACATTTTTACACTAAAAAGTCAATTATGATATTATTCATTTTACCTTTTATTTTGTTATTATCGTTAAAACTCAAAGTTTTCAAACCATTTTTATTAGTTTTCCTTTTATAATATTATGTAGAAATATATTTATAAGTACAATAAACCTTCACGTGGAAATAGAAGCAATTAAATCGATTTCCAACCGATTATATGACAATTGTTTGAAAGTAAATCATTTTTCAGACGCAAATGACCCTTTTATTATTCATCATATGTCCTTTTGTTTACCTAACAGGGAACTGAAGAAATTGAAGCACTTTCTCTAGATTTGCCAAGCTCTAAAAAAAAAGGCTAGTTTCAGTACAAAAGCATTTGTCAATATGAAAAAACTGAGATTGCTACGGCTCAACAATGTAACGCTTACTGGAAGCTTCAAACATTTTCCGAAAGAGTTGAGATGGTTGCGCTGGCATGGATTCCCTTCCAAGTACATGCCAGAGCACCTTCTTAATCAGCCAAAACTTGTTGCTCTTGACCTGCGGTTCAGCAACCTCAGAAAAGGCTGGAAGAATTCCAAGGTACAATCACCCCTAGCCCATAGCGGGTTATAATTAATTCCCACTCCGATTTTATTTTTTAAGCCATATTCTTCTTGGATTTTGAATAATATTTTCTTTTGGGTTTGTGCAGCCGCTCGAAAATTTGAAAATCCTTGATCTTCATAGGTCCTGGAAGTTAAAAAAGTCACCACACTTTTCAGGACTCCCAAATCTCGAAGAATTGAATTTTTCACACTGTTATAGTTTGTCCAAGATTCACCCATCCATCGGTCAACTTAAAAAACTCACTAGGGTAGATTTTGCATTATGCGTTAAGCTTAGTTATCTTCCAGCGAAATTCTGTAAGTTGAACTCTGTTGAGACTCTTTGTCTGTTGGATTGTTGTGCATTAAGAGAACTGCCTGAGGGCTTAGGGGAGATGGTATCATTGAGAAAACTTAATGCAACTGGAACAGCCATAAAACAATTCCCCAACGACCTTGGGCGTCTAATTTCTTTACAAGAGTTGATAGTTAGGGATTGCAGAAATCTTCGTGCAATCCCCGATTTACCAACAAATTTGGAAGTCTTGGAAGCAAGTGGATGCCCTGCATTGGAAACAATGCCAAACTTTTCGCAAATGTCAAACATGAGAAAACTGTATCTAATTAATTCGCCCGAAGTCACAGAGGTTCCAGGTTTAGGCTTGGGTAAATCATTAAACTCCATGGCGGAGCTTCATATGTATAGGTGCACCAATCTCACAGCTGAGTTTAGGAACAACATCCTACAGGTCTATCTCTATCTCTGTCTCCTCCTACTCTTGTCTTTCTCTATCAATCACACGCACAAACACAACCGCACATGTACAATTATTTGACACTATATTACATTGTATGTATATTATAGGAATGGACTTCTTGCGGAGCTGGTGGAATTATACTGAGTGGGATTTATGGTATTCCAAAGTGGTTTGACTTTGTCGCTGACGGCAATAAAGTCAGTTTTGATGTTCCTCAATGTAAATGTCGTAATTTTAAAGGGTTGACACTCTGCTGGATTGGTTGGCAATACTACAGTTTAAGTGTTGCCTTTACTGTTGTAAATTGTACCAAGCATACTACTTCGAGGGTCTCTATGCCTTCTTGGGGAGCTTGGGGAGTAACAGTGGATCATTTTCAGCAGGTACAATTATCGAACGATCAGCTCAAGCTCAATTTGCAAGGCGGGGACAAGATTGTTATTCTTATAGAGGGTCTTAAAGCGAAGAAAACAGGGGTAAATCTAGTATGGGACAAACCTTTGAAGGAAAACAAGCATGTTGATTCGGGCATTTATTACTATGAATATGAATCTGAAGCAGTTCCAGATTGGTTGTATGATGAGTCAAGTCCGGGACCAAGCCATGGCGCATATGATAATCATCCCACTAATCAATGACGACTCCTACAGATGAACCCAAACGGAAAAGGCAAAAGGTTTGAAGAGAGAGCATTGCCAGATCGGTTGAGTAGTCGCTATTCCTGCATTATACTCTCCCGCAGACCATGTCAGCTGTCTTTCTCGTTTTCCAGCTCCATTATTCGGACATTTGATTTGATCGCATCCAACAGATGATTTGTTCCTCATTTTACTGACAATTCATTTGCGATATTGACTAGTTGTTCAGTTGTTAATTGGTGTATGCTTTACAGATATCCATATTCTCTTGTGGAACCAAATTATTAGCATCATACTTCGACTTTTTCGGTCCTAAATCAAAATTTTAGATTGAAATGTGCAGTTACTGACCATGGATGCAAACATATAGAAATCGGGACTATAATCTCACTTGGAACCCTTTCTATCAACTCATCTGCTTCGTCTAACAGTCTGGTAGGGCCAAGAAGGTCGATCAGGCAACCATAGTGTTCTAATGTCACTCAATCTCATATATCTTTCTAATGGAGTTGAAGAACTCCCAACCCTCATCTACCAACCCTCTGTGAACGCAGTCAGTTAAGACAACAATGAAGGTGAAATCATCAGGCTTCATGCCAAACTGCAAAGCTTTACATACGTATTCAACAACCACATTTCCGGTTCTAGTAATGAATCTAAGTTCATTTCTAACATATTCATCAATTTCTTTACCAAGCTTCAAAGTTTTCGATGATGTTCAAGCTAAAATGGTGGTTACAACAGTAGCTTCATCGAGCTTCTCATTGCTCTCACATGACATCCTCCGAAACATATCCAAAGCCTCATCAAACCTCCTGCATCTAACATACCTCGAAATCGTAAAGTTCCAAGTTCCAACAAAGCTTGTTTCTCTCAGGTATTTCATCAAACACCTGCTTGAAACTCTCAACCATGCCCAATTACACATTCATGTCAATGTGCGAGTTACATACATACCATCAAACCCAATTCCAGTTTTTACCACAAACACATGAACCTTTTCACCTTCCCGAACCTCTCCCAAGCATCCAATGGCTTTAAAACAAATGGTTTGGTAAAATTATAGGGGCATAATCCCTCCTCCCTCAACCGCCGGAAGAGCTCAACGACGCTTCTGAAACTACTCCTTTTGGCAAACGCCTTGATCATTTCATCGTAAACAAACAAGCACAGATCTTTGATGAAATGGAAGACTTTCTCGGCGTAATCAAAGTTTCCGAGAGATGGGTCAGTGCAGAAAATCATGAGCTTGTTGACGGTGACTCTGTCTTGGTTGCAGGAGGTTGAGAAGGATATTGGTTATTTTGATTGGTTTACAAGGAAGTTCATTCGAACCTATGTTCATACGCACATCCTCACCACTAAGAGGTTGACAAGCTGATTTCGTGAACTTCTTAAGGTAAAAATCATATGCATTCATTCAGGAAATGAGCGTTTTGATATAGGTGCCTTATTTTTTAATTTTTTGGACTAAATATACACTCCCTTTGAAAATTTGAATCTCATAGGCAATTAGTTGCTAAGCTACCTTATGCCTCTATATAAATGCATTTAAATTAATGACATGGAAATTAAATAAATAGAAAATTATTAAGGAAAACTAATGAAAAGGGCTTGAAAACTTTGAGTTTTAACGATAAGGACAAAATAAAGGGTAAAGTGAATAGTACCAGAATTGATTTTTTAATGTAAAAATATGGTTTTTCGTTAAATTTAACAGTACCGGGAGCTTTTCGTTAAAGTTCCCAAATTATTGAGATGGCAATTGATCAAAACACCTTAATCAAATCTTTAAAAGGGATGAACGTTTAATCTAACAACTATAGAAAAGATGTAGGGCATTCTAATTTTCCCTTCAGGAAATCATGTTTATGTGACTGAGTTTTGTTTTTTTTATTGGTACATTGATATTTTTATATTAGGAGGATGATGAATTCAGCTAAGCTACACAATGAGCAACATAATTTGGTATCGAATTCATCATCCATGAGATTGAAACCTAAGACCTTTCACTTTCAAAGAGGAATATTACCAAACTGTGGTACTGAGTTGCTATGCGATTGAGTTTTGGTTGGGCTGTGAGATCAAATATGTATAGTTTTTATAGAAAAGCATATTTGAGTTATTCGACGAAAAGTTAAACAAATTTACAAATTATCTTTCATTGTTGTCCTTTTTTTAGGCTTCAATTTCCCTTTAAATAACTAGGAGAGTGAATTCAATTGAGATTTTGAGAGATTTTAAAAGATTTATAAATCCAATGTGTTGATATTTAATGAAAATATATGTTCTTGCAAAATGCACTGAAAAAAGCACCTTTCAGATTCCTCTAAACTCTCTCTGTTTTTCTTGTTCCTTGTCTACCTTCAGAAATACATCATACCAAACAAATTAACTCATCGGAATTTATCATGGCCTCAGAGCTTATTTTCTGATCAATTTCAGGACTAGGCGTTTTTGTGTGTGCTTCGTATCTCTGAAAAGGAAAGGGGAAAAACATACCTAGATCGTGAAAATCTCATTTGTTCTTACAAAGTCTCACATGGCTACTTCGAGCAGTGGAGGAGATATGAGGGCTCCTATTTTTAATGGGATCAACTATGATTTTTCGTCCATCAAGATGAAGACCATATTTAAATCACATGATCTCTGGAATTTGGTGGACAAGGGTTTTGAAACCGTAGAAACTGAAGATAATTCTAGCGATGAAGATCAACAGTCTGTGAGGAAGATAGCAATGAAAGTTAATGAAACCAGAGATGCAAAAGCTCTTGGTATCATTCAAGGGGCAGTGTCTGATGAGATCTTTCCTCGAATCTCAAACTTTGAAACTTCCAAGACTGCATGGGATGTTCTTCAACAAGAATTTGGTGGTGATAAAAAGGTTAGGTCTGTCAAACTACAATGTTTAAGAAGAGATTTTGAGTACATTAGGATGAATGATGGTGAAGCTCTATCTACTTATTTAACAAGATTGACAGACATTGTGAATCAAATGAAAACTCTTGGTGAAGAACTGACAAACCAAAGATTAGTACAGAAGATACTTATTAGCTTGCCTAAATCCTATGATTCCATCGCATACTTATAGAAGAAACTAAGGACCTTGACTCCATTGAGGTTCAGGAGGTGATTGGTACATTGAAAGGCTATGAGCAGAGGTTAAATATGCACTCTGAAAACTTCGCTGAAAAGGCTTTTACTAGTCTAAGTGTGACTGAGAGAGATAGCAGTTACAGGGCTCAAGGGAACAACTCAAATCAAAAGAAATTCTGGAAAGGAAAAGGGAAGAAATGGGACAACAACCATACTCCACCATCAAAATCAGAAACTAGCAGTGATTCTACCAAAACCAAGTGTAAAATCTGTGACAAATTACACTATGGTGTTTGTTGGTTCAAGGGAAAACCCAAATGCACCAAGTGTGACATATTTGGCCATCTAGCAAAAGATTGTAATCCAAGAAGGAACCAAGCTGTCAACTATGCACATAGAGCAGAAGAAGAGGAAGTAAATGTCTTTTATGCTTGTAGTGTTGCAAGAACTGAAAATAAGAGAGGAATCTGGTACATTGACAGTGGATGCAGTAATCATATGACTATATATGAATCCTTGTTAATCAACATTGACAGAAGCTTCAATTGCAGAGTTAAAATGGGGAATGGACAACTAGTGAAAGCTACTGGAAAAGGAACTCTTGTTCTAGAGACAAAGGGTGGAAGAAGATTTATCAAGGATGTAATACTTGTACCAGGTCTTGATGAGAATCTCCTTAGTGTGGGACAAATGATTTCTCATGGTTACTTCTTACTTTTTGGAGACAATATGGTGGTGATCTTTGATGACAGAAGCCTCCAAAACTCGATAACACAAGTTGGCATGACAGAAAACAAAAGTTTTCCACTTATGCTAGATTACAATGACTCAATTGCTCTAAAAGCAAGTGTTGCAGAAAACTCTTGGTTATGGCACAAGAGGTTTGGACATCTCAACTTTCATAGTTTAAAGAGATTGAAGAAACTACAAATGGTGACTGGTCTTCCTGAGTTACAATAGACTAAAGAATCATGTGAAGGTTGCATATTGGGGAAGCATCACAGGGACTCTTTTGAAACTGGAAATGCATGGAAAGCAAGCCAACCTCTAGAACTCATTCACACAGATGTGTGTGGTCCAATGAAGACACCTACATTCAGTGGGAACATATACTTTCTGTTATTCATTGATGATTGCACCAGGATGGTTTGGGTATATCTTATGAGAAACAAGAGTGAAGTCTTTTCAATCTTCAAGAAATTCAAAGTGATGGTTGAACTTCAGAGTGGTTTTAAGATCAAAAGACTAAGAAGCGACAGAGGTGGTGAATTCATGTCACTTGAGTTCCAAGAATTCTGTGAAGGAGCAGGATTACAGAAGCAATTGACAGTGGCCTACACACCACAACAGAATGGTGTAGCTGAGATGAAGAACATGACCGTGGTTGAAATGACCAAGTCAATGCTACATGATAAGAAAATGCCACTTTCTTTTTGGGGTGAGGCTGTCAATACATCTGTGTATCTCCTAAACAGGTGTCCAACTAAAGCACTTGAGAAGAAAACACCTTTTGAGGCATTTAGTGGCAGCAAACCAAGTGTGAAGCACTTGAAGGTGTTCGGATCAATCTGCTATGCACATATACCATCTCAATTAAGACACAAGCTTGAAATCAATAGTGTCAAGTGTGTTCTTATAGGTTATGGAAGCTGTGAAAAGGGCTATAGGCTCTACAATATTGAGTCACATAAAGTGATTATCTCAAGGGATGTGGTGTTCAAGGAGAATGAAGCATGGAATTAGGAAACCAATAACATTGACACTATCTCATTTCCACTAGCAATGGAAGAAACACAAGCTGAAGTGCAAAATGAGAATGAACCTGTTATACAGGATGGAAGTCAAAATGACTTTTCAACTCCAACACAAGGATCTCAATCCTCTACTTCAAATGCAGAAGGACAAGAATTACAGGATTCCTCCCCTGAAACAACTCCATTGAGAATGAGAAGTTTAAATGAGATCTATGCAGTGTGTAACTATTATGTTGTTGAACCAGAGAGTTTTGAAGAAGCTGAGAAGGATCAATCTTGGCAGAAAGCAATGAGTGAAGAAATTGCCATGATTGAGAAAAACTCTACTTGGAAATTGGTAAATCGACCGAGTGATAAACCTGTGATAGGTGTGAAATGGATCTACAAGACCAAACTAAATTTGGATGGATCAATACAGAAAAACAAAGCAAGATTAGTTGCCA